CGACTGAGCCACCCAGGAGCCCCCCTCCTTTTCTTTGTTTTTTAGATACTGATACCTAATTTAGTTCAACTAAGGTCAGAGAACATTATATGATCTGTTAAGGTTTTGAACGTGTTAATATTTTATGGTATCAAATCATGTGTTCACTGTTTTAGTTCTTGGGATGGGAAAGATAGAAAATCTTCCTATTTTTATCCATAAAGACAGATTTTTACACAGTTCAAAATCAAAAAAGTGTATTAGGACATTAAAATTTCATGTGGAGCAACTGTTAAAAAAATTCTAAATATGTTGCTTTGGGGAGGGCAATAAGAAAACAGCTGCAATCGGGCGCCTGGGTGGCTCAGTCGGTTAAGCGACTGCCTTCGGCTCAGGTCATGATCCTGGAGTCCCGGGATCGAGTCCCGCATCGGACTCCCTGCTCGGCGGAGAGTCTGCTTCTCCCTCTGACCCTCCCCCCTCTCATGTACTTGCTCTCTCTCATTCTCTCTCTCAAATAAATAAATAAAATCTTAAAAAAAAAAAAAAGCTGCAAAACACTGGATTAGAGATGTTCTGCTATTTTCATTCAAGTTATGATATATATGTCATACAGAAAAATGTAAAACAACAACAAAAAAATTACAAGCCCTATGCCCCAAGACCCAGATTTAACAGATGTTAACATTTTACCAAAATATTCTTCAAATACTTTTTAAAAGAAATGTACAATATATAGAGAACTGCCCAATTCAAACCTCAATCTTTCCCTTCCATCCTTTTCTTACACAGCAAGATATTATATGTCTCTGGAGAATAATTTTAATGGTATTTTGTGTATCTTTTTCTAAGCTCTGAGAAGTTTCATACAACAAATTAATCTCTTGCTCAGACTTTCTTGAACTCTTAAGATTTTCAAATATCTTGGTATATCATTGCTACGTCATAATTTGAAAAAATTAAAATTTCTTGTGTAAATACCCCTTTTCTCATTGTCAGTTGGTGCAGTTTTTAATGGATATAAGCCCTTTTAATCACAGATGTTCTAAAGTGTTGTTTGATCCCCTAGCTTTACCCCAAGGCATTAAAGCTTATGCTTGTTGGGTGCAGGGTCTCCCTTTCCCAGTATTTTTTTTTTTTTTTCCTCCAAATTTACTGAATTTGAGCTATTTATTTTAGGTTCCCTACTGGCCTTTACATGAATGTTATACCTCTACAACAGTTTGCTTTCTGACGGATACATAGTAGCTTAAGTTCTTGGAGTGAGAACAGTATTCCTCCTGAGGATCATCAGTTAAGTACCTAACACATGTGGCTGGCTCTCATCTCTCCTAAACAATCATACTAAGGTCAATATTTTTGTTTTATATGCAATAATAAGTTACAGATCTAACAAAGTATCTTATTAACTTATAGCAAAATTTAAAAAAACCTCCTCCATTACTCATAATGGGAAGTGTTCTCTTCTTACAGAGCGGTTAAGATCAAATTGCTACAAGCACTCAGTACAGTGCCTTTTGAATTTTAGGTGCTTAATAAATATTTCCCCTTACTTCTTTTAAAAGCCTTGATATCGGGGTGCCTGGGTGGCTCAGTCGTTCAGCATCTGCCTTCGGCTCAGGTCATGATCCCAGGGTCCTGGGATCGAGCCTCACATCGGGCTCTCTGCTCCACAGGAAGCCTGCTTCTCCCTCTCCCACTCCCCCTGCTTGTGTCCCCTCTCTTGCTGTGTCTCTCTCTGTCAAATAAATAAATAAAATCTTTAAAAAATAAATAAATAAAAGCCTTGGTATCTCTTGATACTGATTTTAATAGAATCTCATTTGCATAGCAAATACTTTCCAAATCATTTAAAGCAGATCCTGAATGCTACTGCCTTTTGTTTGATTTACCTAATCAGGATTATGCTGATTCTATTCATGTTACTAATAGTAGGAGGCAGAGTCATGCTAGGTTGGGATGAAGAGTACTTGCATTATTCTGAGTGACTCCTTAAATCTTACACCATATTTGCCTCACTTGCCTCATACTATTCCCAGTCCTTGTATAAGGCATAAGTGGAAAATCACCATGTGGAAATATGAGTTTTATATATTATATACACTGTAGTAAAACATTTGTTTTTGGCTGTGTAGTACCTACTTTCTCTCTTGATTTCATAGCTCTATGCTTTTCCTTTGGAGAACAAGGCTTTTAAACTCTCACTTCATGTGGCTTATATGAAACGTCACTCCTTCTATCTTAAGGGTGACATATATGACCCATACTTAGTCTGTTAAGAGTGCCAAATCCCTCCAACAAAAGGAAAAAGTACTTATTTCAAGTTTATTTCATTTAAAGTAACTAAAAAATTCCATGATACACTAGCTGTTAGGGCTTTTGCTACAGGTTTAAATTACTAGTACTTCTCCATGATGAATTTTCTTTTTTTAAATCTAACTGAAAATGAACTATCATCACAATTATCAGGATAATGGTTAGCAGCTCCAGGCACAGCTCTGTCTAGTTTAAAAAAAAAAAAAAAAAATCTGTACAAGAACTGGAAATGCTTCTAATTGGACCTGTTTGGGTCATATGCTCAATTAATGAAATAGAGTGGAATGGTTGTGCATTATCCACAAACAGGTTAATTCCTAGACACCAACATTCTTACACTTTGGTCAAAGTCTCATGGTGCAGTTGTGGTAAGGAAGTGTGGAGGCCTAGGACAGGCAGTCCCAAATGTGCCACTCTGGCATACTGATTATTAAGAATGCTCTTCCCCTTCCCACCGTGTCTCCAGAAAGCAGGAAATAAATCTCCCATGTGAAAGGCACTCTCCCTGAGATATCCTTATCACCAGATAGGGAATTCAGAGACAAGAAAGTTGTATAAACAAGCCTTGTTACTTTTAGTAATTTACAACCACCGCCCAAATTCTGTTTAGAATCCTTTACTATTTCAAGCTTCAAAAGGTTAAGTTTTCTTTATTTTGTCAGTTCCTTGCTGACTAATGTCTCTCTGTGTTGGAATAGGCAGTTAGGTTCTAACAAAATACCTGGAGGCCAGCAAGGAGGAAGTTATGGCTAGCTCTTGGGAAAATCAGAGGCCTGTGCTGGCACCATTCCATAAGAAACCTGATCAAACCAGACAGGCCCCAGATGATGGATGCCATGACAGGAAACCCCTGACCAGATTAGGAAGAAAAAATACAAAACCCTGCTTCCTGCCCCAAGTAATACATATTCTACCCTCTAGTTAACAACTGTCAATAAAAGATAGAAACCCAACCTTCAGGGCACATAGCTCGTAGCTCGCTCACTCTCTTGAGCTCACTTGCTCTCCTATCTCTAGAGTGTACTTTTCACTTTATTTATTTAACATATAATGTATTATTTGTTTCAAGGACACAGGTCTGTGATTCATCAGTCTTACACAATTCACAGTGCTCACCATAGCACATAACCCTCCCCAATGTCCATCACTTTTCACTTTATATAAACTTCCCCACTTATGTCACTTACCCACTGTTAACAGAGTGTCTCCTTGAATCTTTTCTCAAGACAAGACAAGAGAACTTTCGGTGACTCCTTCAGGATGGGCTGGGTTGAAAACCCAGGGCTCAGGGTTTCTGCAGTTCACCTGGCAACATCTGCTTAAAATGTATAAAAGCATAGAACTTGGACATTTCTTTGAGACTCAATGCTACTATTAGGCCTCCATGTACATGTAATTCTAATTTGTTTTTTCCTGCTATTAATCTGTCTCATGTCAATTTAATTCTTAGACCAGTAAGAAAATCTTGAAGGAAATTTTTTCCTCCCCAACAACTGGCTAGTTGGCAGGATAAACTTCAACTGGCTAAATATTGTTCACCCTGTGATTGCTGTACCTGAGAAACTCTGGGACATCTGATAAACAGCTAGCAAAAGTAAGATTTCTTACCATGTCAGCCTCCTGGAATCTGTCTGCAAGATCTGGTGGGACAAGAGTGGTTAGAGTCCTTTTTCTTTCTAAATTTAGCATTAGCAGGAAAAAGTATTTTTGGAAATACTCCATGGGCTCAGCATCTCTGATAAATTCAATAGAGTACTCTTGGTTTTATTAATCCATTTCCTCCCCAGAGATGGTCACTATTTTTGTCTTTTATGTTGTTATAAAAGGGAATTCCTATAGGGAAATACCAGCATAGGCCCCTATAAGCCTGCTGTTCAAACTAACATTATAGACTGTTGAGTTCATAGTTCTTATCAGATGGGCATATGTTTCAACAAACTTTGCTGTGGGTCCCACACGTAAAATCTGGATAAGGTTTTTCCTTTTGTCTTGAGAACTTGATTTTCTCTGGTCTCCACCATGCAGACAATGCACTTACTGGGGTACACCCTGGTAGCCAAGTAAGAGTGGGGTTTTGAGACATAAAGTTGCTAGCAACACTGTCTAGCCATGACAGCCCTCAAAAAGTAAGTCATAAGAGGTCCCAGTCCATAAGGGACTTTTGTGCTCTTAACCTTTGTTGCTTGTTAGTGCTAAAATGTCCCATTCCAGTATACTGCACCTGCCTGGTGTCACAGATTAGTAGGTCTGTTAACTGGAGGCAATTCAGGTTTTTGTGGGTGATCAAAGACACTGTTTTCACTAAAGCATCCTTATTGCCTGTGTAAAAAAGGCATTTGCTTTCTCAGACTATTTCTGGGAGTAAACTTGCGGATCATGGGGACTATATCATCTATGCCCTCTCCAAGGATGCCTCTTGCACCCATGGTCTAAGCCTAGAAATTGCCCCTGGGTCTTTCCAAAAAAAAAAAAAAAAAAAGGCTTCTTGGTTTGAGTTGCTATTAAAATTAGTAAGAGCCTACTCATCAATGGTCAGACATGAAATCTTTTAAATTGGCTACATTTCAAAGGAAAAAAAATCCTTATACAGAGCTCTCAATTGTCTTATTAGTATACTTACTAGGGGTAGGGACTTAGGGACTCCCTTAACAAGGTGAAAGAACAGAAGTTAGACTTAAGACAAAAACTGATGTCCACATCCAAGGTAAATTCCCCTTCTTAAAAACCAGCTCCATCTGCCTGTTTTAACTTACCCTTCCTTATAAGGGTATAGAGCACTCCAGCCTAAACTCCAGAGTCAATGTATATACATTACTCATATAAATGCTAAAACTCATGAAGTGAATTTAACAGAAGCACTGAAGACAAGTGATAGGGCTCACTTTGCTATTTCTTTCTTTCTTTTTTTTTTAATTTTATTATGTCACTTGGCTATTTCTTTTAACTCCTACTTTCTAAAGCTCTACAAACAGGCTCTGCCAGCTTTAGGCATTCTTATGCCATGTCCTTTGCAGATATACCCTGGATTCCCACCTCCCCCCACCCCCCCAAACCCAGGAGGGAAAAAATTTCATGTCCCTTGGATAGCAACAAATCTTGTAACTCATAAAGCCCAATTTTACCTCCACTTTCAAAAGAGCCCACCAAATTTAAAGAGAAATTGGAAAGATTCACATCCTCCCCACTAAAAAAGAAAGAGATGACCATAATTTTTCCTGGCCCTCCTACAAATGAAGAGCAGAAGACTGATATTCAGGGGCTAATAGAAGCCAAGATTGAATTGTGAAGAAAGAAGGCTTTAGTTAACATGATTTATACAGACTTTTTTTTTTTTTTTTTACAAAGATATAAACCTGATTCCCACTTTAGGTGGAAATCTCCCTGATCTAAGGAGTCAAGTTTAGTTAAAAAAGCTGATCAATCTCTTGATATTCAGGCTGTAATTCAGTTTTTTCTGGGAATTAGCAACAACTGTGCCTGGCAAATCTCTACAAAACCAGAAATGCAACTCTAGAAGCAACCCCCGCCATCTCTACCAATCCCAAAACCTCACCTATTCCTCTCAAAATGCTTATAGGTACTATAAAAAATCAGGATACTGAAACAGAATTGTCCTCTACTTAAGAAAAGGAAGGTAAATTCTAAATAGCAATTACCCTATAATTCTTAGGGGAAAAAAAAAAACCCTTACATTCTTTGTCTCTTATAGTTATAAATCTTGTATCTCTGGAGTGTACACACAGCCCACAATTGCCTGAGTAAAGAAAAAAAAGAAGGAAGTAGATATTTTTTAAAAATACAAACTGCAAAAGGGTTCTCTTGCCCCTTTCTCCTCAAATATTAATAATGGTAAGTTTTCTGCATCTGTCAGTATGTGTCTATTGTGGATATATGGCATTTTCCAGTTAGAATTGCTCAAATGATTTTGTAGAAGAGCTCTATTTGATTGGCTTAAAGAAAATTAAGCACTTATAAGTTTTGCATTCATAAATATTCTCAAAAATAAAAAAGAAACACAATCCAAATGAATTTCAAGTTCACGTGAACTGGGAAAATATTCAGTATTAAAGCTAACTTAAGGTTGTTAAGAAATTATGAATTACGTCTCATGTCAATTTAATTCTTAGACCAGCTAGAAGAACCTTGAATAATCGAGGCAATTTTTCCTCACTCAGAAGCACTAGAAGTGTGGGTCATTACATTGGCAAGATAATTGAAGTCTTGTCGAAGTTTTGTCTAAGACATCAAAATCTTTATGCCACCTGGAATTGGTGTGAGCTGAGAACCACCACAACCACTATTAAGAGCTAATATTTACTGAGAAGTTGACTACACACACACACACCCCAGACTTGTTTTAAGTATTTTATGTTCATCAAATCATCTTTACAACAATCCTACCATAAGTATTGATTATCTCCATGGAAATGGATAGAACCTGCCCAAGGTGATAAAGCAATTAAACCTCAGAAACAAGATTTGGTGTCAGAATCTACAACTATAAAACCACTGTAATACACTAGTTTTCAGTAAATTAGGCTGAATTTCCTGTCACTGTAGAAAGAGTTTTATAAACTGATTTTTTTTAAATACTGCTTTTTCCATATCTAACAGAATTGTATGTTCTAAGAGGTAATTTTACTTAGATCTTGGCTCACTATTCCTGTCATAATTCTTAATAATTTCAAAATCCACTTAGATGATCCTTTTCTTACTCAAGTTTCTCAATTTCTTTAATTCATCTCTTTCCATGACCCTGTTGTCACTTAACTACCATGTTCACATTCTAGAACTTATAGACACTAATTACAGTATTCTCTGCCTTTGTCAATTTGTCATGTTATTCTCTTATTTGGACCTCTCAAATTTCTACTTCCTACCTCTAGTAAATAACTCCAACATTTCTTCAGTCATACTGCAATCTATATATAATTGATCATACCATTTTTCCATTGTTTCTCAACCTTCATTTTCTCACTTTGCTCTTTACCCAGATCTCTATGTCTTTTCTTTATAATCATTCCCTTGAGTATATCAACACCTTTTCCTTCCTCCCACTTTGTTGTATTCATCTAGGAAAATTCCAACTTTATTAAATTCAACTCCTGTCTACTCAGTGATGGCACCGAGGCTCAACATCATTGGAGGAAAACACAAAATCATTTGACTAGTCTCACTTAAATTAACAGACTTCAACTGACCACTTTAAGTACTGTCTAGCCATCCTTCTAAGAATCTATTCACTCTGTCACTTTCCTAAGTGTCTATTTTACACCTTCTTTTCTTTCCTCAATCCAATACTCTTTCCCTCTGTGACCTTGCTTCCTATTTCACAGAAAAAATATCATACAACTTTTACATGCTCCTCCTATATATCCAGCAAACTACAAGTATCTAGGCCTACACAATCCATCCTTTCTCCCTGCTATCAATGAGCCATTTACACGCCCATCTTTAAAACTAACTCTTCTATTTGCATACCATATCTGTAGCTCCAACAATATCCCTCTCCTTCATGCATCATATTTGTTTTTTCCTCTGCTGGGTTAGTCCTACTGGATTAGTCCATACAAACCTGCTATATCTTCAATCTTTACAAAACAAAATCAAAACCCTCTTGATACTATACCCCCCTGCATTAACAGCCCATTTCTCTATCCCCCCGAGAGCAAGACTCTCTAACATGGTTGTCTTCAATTCTCACTATATTAAATTCCTCTCTACCATTCTCTTTAATACGTCCTCTCATTTCTTCATTCATCAGATCAGTTTGTCAAGGAGAGATCTGTCAAGAACAGATCTGATATATTTCACCACCCCTTCCTACCTGAGATATTTTCTTTGTTTGGTTTATATACTGACATCTAAATTCTTTATATACCTGACATCTAAAAATGAGCATGTTCTGGGGTTCACTTCTCCATACTTCTAATTCCTATCTTTAAAATTCCCATTTTCATTATTTCACAATGCTAGGAGACAAAAGCTGTGATTCACAAAAGCATTCCAACAAAGACCAAGTCTCTGGGCATTGATTCTGGTGAAGTTATTATTATATATTCACAGGACAGTACTAATAAGAACAAATTAAATATAGCAAAGTTTTCTTATTAACACATAGCTGAAGCTAATTTCACTAAGATAACACAATACTTTTGTATGGGAAACATTTACACCCTTATGTGATAATCTGATCGATTTGGGGGCACGAAAATAAAAGACGACATTAGGGCAAGAATACAAATTTCCTAAAGTGGGGAAAATCTGCCACTATTAAAAAAAATCCAAAATAAACAACAACAACAAAAAACAAAAGTCATAGCCAGACAAACAAAACCACTCCTAAAATAATTACAAGAAATAAGAAATAATATTACTATAAAAAAGTATGTTTGGGCGCCTGGGTGGCTCAGTTGGTTAAGCGACTGCCTTCGGCTCAGGTCATGATCCTGGAGTCCCGGGATCGAGTCCCGCATCGGGCTCCCTGCTCGGCGGGGAGTCTGCTTCTCCCTCTGACCCTCCTCCCTCTCATGCTCTCTGTCTCTCATTCTCTCTGTCTCAAATAAATAAATAAAATCTTTAAAAAAAAAAAAAAAAAGTATGTTTAACTGCATTGGTATCCAGGTAAAAATGAAAAGAAGGGCAGAGGGCAGTATCTGTAATCATAAAAGAAAATTTCTATTTAGTATTGTAAAATTACCTTCAAAATTTTATGTAATTATCAAATTACACTTTCCAAGTGTATTAAACAAGATAAAAAAATTAAGAACATTATTTTATTGGAAAGAAAATAATTTATTATATATGAGGAAGATGATTAAAATACATGTAATATATCTCCAATAAACTGATTTAAATGCATATAGATTTAATTTTTAAATATACTTTAAAAGCTGTTAGTTACGCACAGTTCCATAGTCCAGGTGTCAATTTCTTCTCCTTAAAGTTGGAAAGCAGTTGGAAGACATGGAATCAGAAGGAACCTAAAACATCATAAGAGTTCATTAAAAATAATTATGATTATAAAACAGCTCATTAGCTTTTAGTTATTTTAAAACACATTCATATTTAGAAAATTAGTGAATCATGTCAGTACTACAAATTTTTAATTGTCTAAATAAACAGCTTATATAGAAACTGTGATTTATAACATTAAACATTTTAACTGTCTACAAAAAACAGCAACTTCAATATCTAATTTTTTGTACTCTTGAATGATAATAATTATTAACAGAATTTTGAATTGCTTTCCTAGTACTAGCAAGAGCAGGATTTGCAAAACATGCAGAGGCTCCAATTCTTGATTTTCCTACTTACAGAAGGTTGGATGGCTAGGTTGGTATAAGCACCTAACCATTTTAATCTAACAAATTAGTATCCAAACTGGTCAGTCCTTGAACTACTAAAGATACCTTTTCAAATTAGATTCTTGGTCCCATTCCCAGAAATTCTGATTTATTAGTTTTAGGAGAGAGTCCAGGAATCTTTAAATGTAAAAATCCTTCCTCAGTGGTTCTCAACCTTGGTCACACATTAGGAGGTTTGAAAAATTCCAGTATCTGTGCTGTGCGCCAGTCCAATTAAATCAAAATGGGGAGAAACCCTGACATCAGTACATTTTAGCCTTTTTTTTCCTTCATCAGATTTTTTTAAGTTTCCCAGGTGATTCCAAAATGTGGCCAAGATTAAGAACCACTGTTTTAGGTAATTCTGGTTTATCAACCAGTCTGGAAACCACTGTTACTACATATACCTACCAGATTGTTTCTTTTCACTTAAGGTGCTACCCTGAGTCAACATTATGTCTTCTTCCCTCTGTTCCTCTTTTCTCATTCCTTTTGTTTAGAGAAAGAAAGAGGAAAAAAAAAATACTTCTACTTGCTATCTATCTCAAAGGAAGTATCAATAATAAAACCTCAGATATGAAGTCTGCTACTCTTGGAATTTACAAAGAAATTCAGGTATTTTAATTTTCAATATATATACTTTTTTAAAAGAAAAAAAATCCTTTCCCCAAATTTTACAATACGTTATATAGAACACCTAAACCAGATACATCATAAAACAGAAAGCATATGTTATTGAATTAGGTTTAGGAAATACATAAATATAAGAAACAAGACTAAATTCTGTGTTGAAGCAGATGCATACATTCTCCAAGTAAATAAGTTGACCTGATTCACTAACTTTCCCTAGAAAAATTACATAACCTCAGGAACAGCATAGAAAATTCAGCAACAGATCTAAAAAACACGTAAGTGATTTGTCCAATCAACATTGGTAATTTTAGAAATATCTCATTTGAATAAATTAGAAAAAAAACTATTGCTTAATCCGAATCAATGCGTAGGGGAGGGACAAAACATTTCTAGGAAAACAGAAAACACTGCCCCAAAAAGGATACAACAAGAAAGGATACACTTTGTATGACAGTAATACAGCAGTATTTACGCAGGAATGCTTCTAAAGAAGAACAGCAGAATGCAGTTTAATTTTTTTTCTCAGTTCTCACATTAGATTTATAAATAAATGATTTTTTTAAACACACACTGAAAATTGTTAATTTTTAACCGTTCCACTAAGGTATTTGTAAGAATTCTGACTACATCAGTATAGATACTTCATAAAATTCAAATATTCAAGGCATTTCACAAAAGGAATAAACATTAAAATTTTCCCTTAGTTATATGATTTTTTCAGCTTAACACCAGTAAAGCTGACTGAGTTAACTTCATGTTCTTCCAAATATAAAGGCAGAAAGATTTAAAATAGAACACAAAGAATATATTTCCACTCAGGTTTCTTAAATCAATAGAACACAAACTTTGAAGTTTAAAATGGTTAATTCTATCATTTTTATTCATTAAATTACTTAAGTATGCATTAAAATTACTTGTTTGAAAGGCAAAAGATTTCATTCCACAAAAAAATATGTAAATACTTCTGTGACATGGCAATCAGTAACGCAAATTCTTAGGTCCCATTAAGAGTGACCAACTGGTCTTGGCTTGGTGGACACTTTCCCGGTCTGAGCACAGGAATACTGGCATGGTAGATTATACAAGGATCCTACTCCAGGCCTACTGAATCAGAAACTCTGGATGAGGGTGAAGGAAGCCTAGCTGTTTTATCAGCCCTTCAGGTGACTGTAATACATGTTCAAGTTTAGGAACCACTGCTTTCCTATAGGTTGAAAAGTTTTAAGACAAAGACATATTCCCCTCATAAATTCATTCTCCAAACTTAATTTTACATACACTTGGGCTTTATTCTGTAGTTAAAATTTTGAAATTTATTGGGAATTAACTGCACAGACAATGACACACACAGAGTGATAGAGACATGGATGGATAGATGGATCAACTGATCAATTATCCTTTAAAAACCTTAGGAGATACCTGAATTATCACTCTAGAAGGCTTTTATACTTCATTTTATCTCAAGAAAGTCTTGTTCTTTTATTATGTTATATCCACACTTACCTTCATTAATTTTTAACACTTCCTTTTTCCTTCTTTAGAATCTTGTTTTGGTCTAGCAGATCGAGCAAACTGCTAATATTTAAAAATTAAGGTTTCTTTCACAAACAGGACAGTAGTCTTCTCTAAATAATTACTAAGAACTTCCTAATGTAGGGCAGGAGTACAGTTTTTAAAAATGTATCTCTTGTACTTGTCTTCCTACTCTCAGCTATTTGTCAAATATTTTTTTTATTTTTGAGTGCATCCTACCAGCTGCCCATGATTTGCAGAAGTAAAAAATTTACCTTTTCTTTATAATTATTTTTTACATCTGGACCTTCACTCCATCTATCCCACTGATTTCTAGTTTGCAAACTGCATTAACTACTAAAAGCAGAATGTTTAATCAATATTTTGGTTGTTAAAATTTTCAAATAGAAATATGAATTGTAATATCTATAATAAAACATAAAAGAGTAAAACTACAATGAATCATTTTTTTAATGACTCCAAGTGTATTTGTAGATACTGTAGTGTTTTAGGCTTGCCTAAAAATGTTATTTCTGACCTGTATAAATGAAATGTTTAGACATGGCTAAATTATAATAACCTCATGCTACTGAGGTTCCTTTATTTTCCAATAAAAATCTAACTACCCATATGACTCAGCTAAGTATGTTTATAACTGAGTAAGCTAGAATACCAGTTGTTGAGATTTCTAAAGGATAACTTAAAAATTAGTTTCAAGGGGTGCCTGGGTGGCTCAGTAAGTTAAGTGTCTGCCTTCGGCTCAGGTCATGATCCCAGAGTCCTGGAATCAAGCCCTGCATCGGGCTCCCTGCTCAGCAGAGAGCCTGCTTCTCCCTCTCACTTTGCCCCCACCCCGGTTCTGTTTGTGCTCTATCTCAAATAAATAAATAAAATCTTAAAAAAAAAAAAAATTAGTTTCAAGTATACCCTTCTACTGAAAAACACACTGTCTTTGGAATAGATTATTTAAGGATACAACCACCATAGGTTTTCCAAAAAGAACATATCCATTAGCTTCCTTTAAGGCTTTTGCTGCTGCTTTTTCATTTGGAAGTCCAATGAAAGCTTGTCCTTTCATGCGACCTTCTTTCATCAAACGTATATCAAACCTAGGAAGAAAAAGCGGTTTTGATTTGAAGAATATCAAACAATTTTGATCACGGGAATAGAAATGGGTTGAACATTTAAAATGTTTGCCATTTCAGAGTAAAAATGACTATACTGTCTGATTAGAACATTACTCGGACTTTCTAAAATTATGTTTTGTATACTGTTCTAATTGATTCAAAGTAAGTTTGATAATAAATTTATATATATCCTTCTAAAGCTCTGTTAAGTGTACTTATGTAAGTTAAAAATTATAATACTAGGAACTCTAAAAACAAACTTAAATTTTTATTTCCTATCTCTATGTTTAAAAAATTTCATACAGCCAACTCAATACTATCTATTCAAGTGACAAAAAAACAACTATATAACCAAGAACAGAAAGGCTCAGGAACCACAGAAAAGTGACACAGAACTTCAGAGTAGGATATGACCTTATTGATCTAGTCAAAATCATCATTTTATAGGTGACGTCTACAGAGAATGCATGACTTCTTCAAAGTCATAAAGACAGCTAAAATTAGAGTAGAAACACAAACCAGATTTTTTATTCCCAAGTGTAATGTTCTATTATTCCATAACATGTTCATTTTTCAACATTTTTGGGAAAACGATATTCAAAAATCAGAAAAACCAGACCATAATTTACAACTAAAGTACTTCCTACAACTGCAATAGTCTATACAGAGCATTAAAAAATGCAGTGACTTTTTAAATTCACACAATTACTCCCACGAAAAGCAATTATTAATTTATCATTTTGATGTATATAGCTTTTTCCATATAGAATTATTTTCCCCCTCAAATTTTAATTACAGCAACACTAAAAATAGAGGAATGTATACAAATATTTATGTACATGAAACATTTCATACATATATATTTTTTTCTGTTTCTTATAATCATGATTCAAAGGTAGCAACAAGAAAAAGGACTAGTATTTTGCATGCATAGCAAAAGAAACTTTTGGTATACTGGTAAGAAAAGATATCTGCCACTAATGAGTATAAATAGGCCAGATAAGACATCAAAATATTAAAATAAAACTTAGTTCCAGTTATCCTCCATATTACCTCCACTCAAAGTCTTATCTCTTTACCTTTTCTACTTTTCCCTACTTCTAACTTATGTGGCCGAGGGTCTTACCTACTTTGGAGCTAACTAATTATGGCATTTTAAAGAATGAAATTCTAACTCGAAACATTAGCTTTTATATCATTTACAAATCCTATCCCCCTTTTGCTCTCACAAAATTGGGAGCCTTGCTTAATGCAGACTAATTAAAAGAAGGGAAGCTACTGCCAAGTTTAAGAATCTGAAAAATTCTGCCGGACTGCTACATATACTCCTGAATGAGTCATCAATGCAGTTGTTTTCAAAGTGTAGTCTTTGGACCAGTAGCTTTGGCATCATCCATGAGCTTTTTAGAAATACAAATTCATAGGCCCTACCTCAACCTCGATGGACCCAGGAAACGCTTTTACTAAGCTCTTCAGGTGATTCTTATACAGGTTAAAGTTTGAGAATCCCTGCTTTAGAACTGGGGATTAAGGCTGGAATTTATGCTGTTTGTATACTGGAACTCAGTCATAAATATTAGTGTGTGTATTGTTTAGGCCTGCTTACATGCTACAAAGATAGAACTGAGTAGCTCCAACAGACACTGTATGGCCTGTAATAAAATAAAAATATAAAATGTTTCTATCTGCCCATTTATGAAGAATTCTGCCGACTACTGCTTTAGACATCTAAAAATTAGGCAACATAAGAGCATTTCTTCCTATAATGTTTATCTCTATAGGGAAAGTGCTGGGATTAAAAAAAAGGGCTAATTTGTAACAGATAAAAACAAAACATAATTTGAGAATATGACTCCCACTTACATTATCCGTTGTGTTTCTGAGGAAAAGTCAACATATCTCCCAAAAATAAATTTAAGGTCCTAGAATTTTAATAAGAAAAAGACAAGTAAGAAGGTTCAGGGGGAAAAAAAGATAAAACAATAAAGTCAATTTACAAATTTCTATTTACCTTTTCTTGAACATGTTTAGCTAAATTCTTTACATAAATTCTACAGTTCGGTTCACCAGGTTCGTAACTTCTGAAAACTGAAAGTGTTTCCATTTCTTATTAAAAGCAAAACAAAAGGAGGACATACATACATTAGGATATTTTCATTACTTTTCTCAAAGAAAAACTATAAAAACATTCAAATACAAGTGTTAAATAGACAGAACAAGCATTATGAAAATGTCAGAACCATAACCATTAATAGCAATGTTCTTAATAAAATACTCATTAAAAATCTGAATTGATAATATGAAAATAAGCTTAAAAATTTCAGGCCATCTAAAATAACTAAAACTTGTCCAATAAAATATCTACTACTGAAGCTCCTTTATGATAAAGCTACCTTATTAAAAAAAGATTGAAGCAAATAAATAGGTTATCAATCACTTTTGTCATTGTCTTGCTTTAAGTCAGTTTCCCAAACCACCAGGCACCAACACAGTCAGATGTAAGAACGAATTACTCAAACCTAATCAAGTAATTCATGCAAACTGTGGCTTCTACCACTACTCCTAGTATCAATAATCAGTTCCTGACAACAGATGTTCTATGCAAAAATGCTAGTTGGAAGTTTATTTCCCATTATTATGGGAAATATTGTAACATGCTACATGTAATCTAAAACCCCTAAATAATTCCCTAAAATGTACTAAAAGCAGGAAAAATTCTTTAGAAGAAAACTATCATGTTAGGATATAAAATCCTTAAACACAGACATTTAATTACCAAATAACTGAAACTTTTTTTTTTTTTTTTTAAACAACTGCTTTGCATGCATCTCAAACACAGAATTGTAATGATATATCCACTGTATTTGGAATACAAAACTCCAGACCATGGGCCCCTTAATTTTTTTAAAATGTTATATAAAAAGTTTTAGGAATGAAAACAAAAATATTTTTTCCATAGATAGACTGAAAACACTGTATCGAGAGATACTTTCCTCCCTACAAAATATGGGTATTAAAACCAAAAGCAGTGATTAAAAACATTAACTGGGAAGATGTTTTGATATATATCCTTTAATTAAGGTAAAGAACATGAAGAGATTTGTTGTTTCTGACACATCAAAGACATAGAATAGGCACTGGTTTATTTCATGAAATTACCTTCTCTAGAAATTCTGCCTTTTTCCAACTCCCTTCTAGAAATACATTCTGATGGCATTTCATCACAGTCCTCTTTAATCTCTTCTGTGATGTTCAAATTAGGTTTAGGGAAGATTTTTCCAAATCCTACATTGGGTGCATCACCTCCAGGAGCAGGTAAATCTAAAAGTTAACATTAACATCAGCCATTAAAAATTCCTACCCTTCAAAACAGGTTTTGTTTTCCATTTTTAAAGATATCTTTTGGCACTAAAACTCTTAAGTGTTTTTCTCAATTCTTTAGAACAGGGGTAGGCAAACTTTTTCTGTAAAGGTTCAAATAGCAAGTATTTTAGGCGTTGCAGGCCATATGGTTCCTGTCATGGCTATTAAACTCTGCCACTGTAACATGAGAACAGCCAGACAATAGCTAAGCAGCCAAATGGTTGCTTGGTGGGTCTACTTACAGGGTCTGCAAAGTGGAAAGAAAATGAATTCATTTTCAACGTATTTAGTCTGAGGTGCCAGAGGGGCACCTCGAAAATGTAAAATGTATTGGGCAAGATAGGCAGAATGTGTGTTGGGGGGGGTCAATAATAAGTATTCTGTTTAACCTATCCACTTTGAACTATTAATAATTATATGAAATAAATCTGTAGTTCATTAAATAAACTACATAATTATCAAAGGCATTCCGTAATGGAATGTGCTCATTCAAGATTATTCATACAGTGGGTTTGAAGACTTCATAGTGCTACACCAGAATATTATGAAACAGCATTCAATCTTCAATCTTATCAAAGATGATTAAAAGATTAAGATCAGCATATATGCTGAAATCATAAGACAAATGGAAATTTGAGGATACCAAAAAGCTTCATTAAGCCTTTCCCCACCCTCCCACCAAAAAGAAGTCAATTCTACTCTTAGAACCTATAAGAAGTGAAGAAAAACAAGTATTCACACTCAAGAAATTACTCAATTAGGAAAATTCAAAAACACCACAAATTTTTAATTTCAGATAGCAACATAATGGATTTCATTTACAAAACATGAATTTTAGCTTCAGCAAAAATTAAACTGGCACAGTAAGGATAGGGTTAAATATTCACTAGAAAAATTCTAGTCATACTACCAAAAAACAAGCAAAAAACTAAAAAGCTATGAAAATGATGCAAAGAATATGCTAAACTTAGAATTATAAAAAGTTTCTTTATAATGTTGAAAAACTGTTGTACAAACAGATCTCCTGTGGCCTGAAAGTATCAATAGAGAAAAACTTAAGACTGCTTCTCCTGTTACTTCAACGTTACTAATTAACACTGATGTAGAATGGGAGGACTGTCATCCTCTCATACTGGTCTACACCCTTGAGTAAATTAAGCTTAAAAAAGTAAAAATTTGTGTCTGGGTGACTAACATGAAATAAGAGAGAAAAATATACAGAAAGAAAAATAGAAGTATTGAAACAAAAAAGCTATCTGTGCCCTACCTACTGTTCACTTTTTCAACAAACAATAGCAGCTAATTTTTAGACATTTGCACCATGCCAAGCATTTTATTTTACTTGGATCATCTTGTTTGTTTCTCACAGCCAATATTTATCAACTGCTCTTCTGTCATAGGCACTGTGCTCTGGGGCAGGGGTTCTGCACATGCTGCCTCTCTGGTGGAGACTATGATCCAATGGCTGACCCAAGCCCACCCCTAATGCCAGCAGGGCCAGGACAAGAGAACAAATGGAAGCCTCATACCATACACTGAAATACTGTAAAGTTACAAATCAAGTTTAACTGTTAAATATGTTCTATTCTCCTTAATAATAATAATAATAAAAGCAACTATCTGAAAAGGCAATGCCTTCTCACTAATCTTGGAAAAGACAGGAATTAAAATCAGTTTTTCCCAAATAATGCAATATATGTTAAGAAAAAAAAAGAAGAAGAAGAAGAAGAAGGTAGCGGGAAGGGAAGAATGAAGCGGGGGAAATCGGAGGGGTGGACGAACCATGAGAGACGATGGACTCTGAAAAACAAACTGAGGGTTCTAGAGGGGAGGGGGGTGGGAGGATGGGATGGCCTGGTGGTGGGTATTGAGGAGGGCACGTTCTGCATGGAGCACTGGGTGTTATGCACAAACAATGAATCATGGAACACTTCATCTAGAACTAATGATGTAACGTATGGGGATTAACATAAGAATAAAAAAAATGTAAAAAAAAAAAATCAGTTTTTCCACTCACTACATTTGCAAAACTTACTGGAACTCTGATCGCATATTCACACAAATGCTCAAAGATACATGTGCAAAATGTATGTTCCAGTAGTTTCTCAGATAGTAAAAAAACAGGAACAACCTCAACTTCTATCAACAGAGCATGATTAAAGATTCATACAACTGTACTATGTAGTATTATGCAGCCATAAAAAAAAAAAAAGGTATGTATTTTTATGTTGATACAGTAAGCTACTCCCACTAGACTTTAAACTCCTGAAGATCAGAGACCACATCTAGCTTATCCTTTAGTGCCTAGCATAGAGCCTGCTAGGCTGTATGCTTTCAGTAAGTCAATATTAAGTCAATGGCAAACACTACATAAAACATGATGCCCATTTAAAACAAGAGGAGAAAATGTGTTTACACGTGTATAGGATAAGGTCTGGAAGAATAGCTATATTCCTAATTATTAACAATGGTAGTGAGATAGGGGACAGTGGGGTTTGAGGTGGTAAAATTTTTTAAATTTTTACTTTATATGCTCCTGTTTTGATTACCTTTTCTGTAAGTTTGTATTATTTATGAAATTAAAATTAAGGAACAAAGGAATGCCATTATATCAAATTAATGCCTACAATAAACAGAATATCTGTAATTTTAATAAATTGTCTTTTAAACTTAAGAACAGTATCTTAGTAATTAATCTTCCATGTCTTTTGGATAAAAAAATATTTACATGAAATCTACAATACACGTAACAGTCACACTGCTTGTTTCCTAATCAGTAATTCAAATATACTAATAAAACCACAGAACATCACAACTAACAATGAAAAAATAAGTCAGTAGAACTGTTTTATTGTATTTTTCATGTAAACATCAGCAAAAACAAGACTCAATTTCACCCTAAAGTTAATTACTAGCAAAAGGCAACAGTAATGGTTTCATCATTAAGCATTAATTTTAGTTAATGAAAAAGTTCAAAATGGATAATATTCCATGACATTAAGGAAGGTTTAACTGCATATTTTAAACATTTAATTCTAACACAAAAAGCAGAATGAGAAGAATTTTTACACAGCATATTAAAGAACTAGAATGTGCTTACCATAATTTTGTTCTTCACGATTTTGTTCTTTTTCTAGATCTTTCTTAAATGCAGATGGCATGTCAGTAGATATATGAAATTCAATTTTCTTAATACCTACAGGTTGTGGTTGGTCAAATACATCTGAAGGTAACAGCACTGGATGTAAACTGCTGTTTATAAATAGTCACAGTATTACTTGGCAATTGCAAATAAAATCCTAAGTAAAACATTATTCCCATTTACCTTAAATTTAACACTGACAAAGCACTCACAATACCATAGGCATTGCACAAAATAACTTACATTTAATACTTCAATAAATCCTAACAAATTTGCTAATATGGATACTATTAAATTACTAGTTAAATAAGGAGACTGAGATTAAGGGATATCACTCATTAAATGACAGAGACAGTACTTGGGGACTACTGATTCCAAACTTAAAGATATTTACCAATATGCAAAGACATTCATTCTATTTTTAATATAAGCATTTTTATGTTCTGAATTCTACATACATAAATAAAGCTATGCTATCCAACAGAATTGCCACTAGCCACATGTGTCCTAATGAGCACGTGAAATATTGCTGCCCAAATTAAAATATAAATATATAAAATACACAACACACTATGACAACTTTGTATTAATTATATGCTGAAATAAAATATTTTGGATATAATGGGTTAAATAAAATATATTATCAAAATTAATTTCATCAGCTTTTTAATCCTTTCATGTGGCTACTGGAAAACTGAATTTGGTTCACGTTATTTATCTTTAATTGTTCAGTGCTGCGATAGAGATTAAAAGCATGCGATGTGGTATCAAGACATACGTAGGTGAGAACCATACATCGGTGAGAAAGATACATCATATTTATACTTAATGTGAAATTAAAAAAAAAAAAACAGATTAGGACTTATTCCTTCAAAAAGGAAAAAAGATTTCTAACAAACTCCTTTCTCAATTTTTGAAGTTACTTACAAGTTCAAGGGAAATTTACATTGTAGAATAGCTAAATGAAATTAAAATTGCAATTAATGTTAATTTTATGTGATTAATATATTAAAATATATAGAATCCCACGGCAAACAGGCAGGTAAAATGTCTACCGTAATTGTTTATAAATGACATGGTTTAAGCAAGTAGACAAAGTACACAGAAAACCCTTATTTCATAATCCAAAACAAAATTACCTATGTGGAGCAGATGAAGGTGTTTTCAATATATCCTTTATTTTTTGCTTTTTTCTCACATGGTGCTGCTTTGTTGTTTTTGGCCTTTTGGGCTGAAGATTTGCTAGTTCCATTAGTTTGGTCATTCTACATTACGAAAAGAGGAAGTAAAGAATTCTTCATGTACAAGCATGTAATATAAACTATAAATTATACATGTTATATTATAAATTATGATCTATATAGAAGTATAGTTTCTAAGCCATCAATTAAGATAATTTAAAATAAGCTCAAGTTCCTAAATTTCCTTGGCCAACTTTCATCTTACTTTAAAGGAACTGAGAATTTGAGAGAGAGAGAGAGAGAGTGTGTGTGTGTGTGTGTTTGTGTATGCACACGCACAAGCAGGAGGAGGGGCAGAGGGACAGGGAGAGAGAGAATCTTAAGCAGCCTCCCTGCTGAGCATGGAGCCCAATTCAGGGCTATCTCTCAACCCTGAGATCATGCATGTCATGAGCAGAAATCAAGAGTCGGATGCTCAACTGACTGAGCCATCCAGGTGCCCCTCAATTTACCTTTTAAAGATATGTTTTATTATGAAAATTATTAGTTGTCCAAATAAAATGGCTGCACTTGATGCCAGAAAGTTGAACAGGATACAGTAATACAACCTATGTAACTTTATTCCTTTTTTTGACTAATATTCAAAAAGACCTTATAAATACAGTGTAATTATTTTAATTCTTATTCTAATTAAAGAGTCTAAACTGAAGTTATTTTTATTTTAAAGCATTTTCAAAATCATTGCACATGAATCATTTTATCAACAAGATAACTTACTTGAGAACAAAGTTTTCAATACTATCTTTGAAGTGGCTTTTTATAAGAAACTATCAAGCTGTGATAATTGATACATTGTACCTAGTTTATCTTCATTATGAGTGTAATATTTCAAATAGATCCTGTCCGGGCATTTTTGTATCTTCCACAGAATCAGACACAGTGTTTCCAGAGCAGAAGTTCACAATCACTAGTCACAGCTCTATTTCTACAGTTACATTTGTGAAATTTGAAAGCAAAATAAACATGCACACAAATTGCAAGAAAGGAGAATGTGGTTAAAATAAGCTTTAAACCAAGTAAAGAAAAATGTAATAAACACATGCTATACATTTGTAAAGCCTCTTAACAATCAAGGTTTGCCCAAAATTTTATGAATAAATCCAGTTATATAAAACATGTTTCTATTCACAAATTGCTCACCCAAAATAGACTAAGCCTCTCAACATTGCCAGGCATAAATTAGGTAATCAATAATACTTGCTAAATAAATAGTATGGTTTTGTTTTTGTTTACATTTCCCAAAGATAGAAAAGCATGAAACATTGTTTTTGCAAAGACTTTATTCTCATTACTCAAGATGAATTACTTGCAGAATTCCTCACTACATCCCTAAATAGAAACCAGAATAAAAAAAAAAACAAAAGGGCGTCTGGGTGGCTCAGTTGGTTAAGCGACTGCCTTCGGCTCAGGTCATGATCCTGGAGTCCCGGGATCGAGTCCCGCATCGGGCTCCCTGCTCGGCGGGGAGTCTGCTTCTCCCTCTGACCCTCCTCCCTCTCATGCTCTCTGTCTCAAATAAATAAATAAAATCTTTAAAAAAAAAAAAAAAAAAAAAGGTTTTGGCCAGCCTGCATAAAGCATTCCTGAAATTACTACCTCTATTTTATAAAGAAAGTAAAATGTACATAGGTTATGTAATGAACCCAACGCAACACTTTATACCGTTCTTTATTTGGCAACAAGTTAATCTATCAAGAACTGCCAGCCTTCCTAAATGTCTCTATTCAAGACACCCCATTCACCCCATTTTTGTAGTTTTGGCTCCACCTACATTTTTAACTCTTTCTCTAGAAAGAATGCATATTGAGAGAGTACTTAAGTTAACATTGACTCAATAATAGTCATATTGTTGTTGATTATTTGTAAATATTGCCTGGAGTCTCTACTTGGTTTTTGTTTTTTTTTTTTTAAGGTTTTTATTTATTTTTTTGACAGTGAGACAAAGCAAGAGAGGGAACATAAGCAGGGAGAGTGGGAGAGGAAAAAGCAGGCTTCCCACTGGGCAGGGAGCTAGATACAGGGCTCGATCCCAGGACTCTGGGATCATAACCTGAGCCGAAGGCAGATGCTTAACAACGGAGCCACCAGGTGCCCCTCTACTTGGATTTTGACTCATGTCAACCCCTCCTGTATCTGACTTCTGTACACAGTTACCTAAGATTCTCATCATTTGGGGCACCTGGCTGGCTCAGTTGGAGCATGTGACTCTTGACCTTGGGGTTGTGAGTTCGAGCCCCACACTGGGTCTAGCAATTACTTAAAATAAAAAAACTTAAAAAAATAAATAAATAAAATAAAAAATTCCCATCATATGCCCATAGTGGTCTTCTAGGCTAGAGGTTGGCAAATTACTGCCCTGGGACCAAATTCAGCCAGCTGCCTCTTCCTGTAATCAGAAAGTTTTGCTGAAATACAGCCACATCCACTCCTTTAGGTATTGTCTGTGACTGCTTTCCTACTACAACAGAACTCTTAGCCCTATACAGAAAATGTTTAGCAATTCCTGTTCTAGGCTATGCTGTGGATTATACACCTGAACATTAACCATTTACTGCTTTTCACCAGAATCTTTAAATAAAAGGTATGTAGGTTGTCAAGAACAACCAATTAAAAAAAAAAAAAAAATTCATCTGCATTAGTTACTACAAATTGGTCTGTATAAAATCCCACAGAAATGCTCTAGAAATTTATTCTGAGAATAAAATTCAGGGGAATACGCTGAAAAAAATACAAAGACAATCCATTCTTATTCTTGTTATTCAAGATAGTTAAAGTTTTATGAAGTCTCCACAAAGAATTAGTGAATAATGAATCAATGCCCCTCCGGGGAAGTCAGGATTGGGTTCCTGCAAGCCTATACTCTTAGCATTTCACCAACTGATCAATACACACCTTGTTTCATGTGTGTTTTTGTTTAAGGACACCTTATTTTATATATAGTTGATTCACTAACATTGAATTTACAGTCAACAGCACTATAATTCAACCCTGAACAAGGCTTATCTAACAGGTTTTCTCCATTAGGAACATCACAGCCTTCTTGATTTTGGAAACATTAGACAGCACCTCAACGCTATGCTTGGGGACCAATTTAAACAGCAAAATCACCAACAAACATCATAAAAAATGTGAAAGGCTTGGTATTAAATAGACCACAAAAAGGATACTTGTTTACAGTATTGGAGATGAAGTAAGAAGACAGCATGTCACCCTGTTCTACCTCATCTAGGAATGTGCACGTCAAGCAACTCAAATTTTTCACCATTCTGTGCATGCCCACATTGGCAAAAGACCATACAAGCACTGTAAGTATTGATTTGGGGATTACAAATAAATTTTAGCATGTGGGGATATTCTCAAATACATGATCCACAAATAACAAGGATCAACTGCACTTCATAATACTATAATCATTGATCTAAAGAATTACTCATAATCCAGAAACTTTTCCTTAGGTCTCAGATCTTAATCTATACCTATTATATATGCTTGAGGGGTTGGGGAGTTGGGGACAAATTTTAATGACCCCAAATTATGAAGAATTATAGGTAAAATTTAAGAAGAGCAAAAGAATCTGTCTCATATTCTGTTCTTAAAATCTAAACAAATATTATTTGATATTACAAACCTTTGTCGGTCTTCATCATCACTGCTTTCATATTCTGATTCTATACTTGATAATTCCTCATCCTCATCTGGCAAAGGAGGTTCCTCTGGTGGCTGAGGAGATGCAGGTGGAAGAGGTGCATGTAATGGCATATAATCTTCATACTAATTAAGAGAAAAACGGTAATCATATGGTAATCTATGATATTTATAGAACAGAAAAAACATTTCCATTCAGGTACATTATTCTCATCTCTCTCCGTCATGATATTCTTTTACACGTTCAACACAAATTGAGGGAACACCTGCTACAGAAGACTGCTAGTTGATCACAAAACTTGTTTCTTCTTCCTTGGCACCTAGCTGGAGTAAATTTCCAAACCTCCTTTACAGTTGGATTTAATCATGTAACTGAGTTTTAGCCAACAGAATGCTAGCATAAAAAAAAATCCACCCATAATCATCTCTTCCTTCTTGATCTGCAGGATGTATGGTAATGCCCTCATTGATCTGGGAATGCACATAGTGAAGACAAGTGAAATTTCTGAATGACCAGAATAGAACATGATTCTGCCCTACTTTTGGAATACACTTGACCATGTACAAGATATAACTTATGCTGGTTAAGTGACTAAGATTTGAGTTTTATGTTAATAGCAGTTAGCTTATCTTCAAAGATATTCCTGTAATGTGCTAGACATTGAAGTGCTGGGATTACAAAGGAAAATTATGAAGCTAATAGTATATACATTAGAAAAGCAGCCAATATGCAATAGACAACAAAAAAGCAAATTTTCTATTTAAATGTTAGGACTCAAAATAATTTCTCATTGCTATTATCTAAACAAGTACTAAGTACTGTAACAAAATAGTAACTAGAATGATTCAATAGCAGACATAGACTAAGTTACAGATAGATTTGCACAGTAAATTTGAATAAAAATTATTAGCAACCTTTCTTCTCTTCTGCAAATGAAGCTCTATATGCAATAACACCAGAACAATGGAAATTTTACATAATTTTGTTAAGTGCAATTATTTTATAAAATGGCAGAACATTCTGGGTCAAAGGATTGAACAACACTGGCAGAAATGAGGGCCTCTATTACCAAAAGCATCTTTCACATTCTGACTTTCTCCTACTCATAGTTCTCCACTTAACTCTTACTAGCATATTAACTTTATATTTGTCCCTTAATTTCAATGCACATTAGAAGTTAGTGGCGCAATATTTGTGAAGGTTAGCCTCAATAATCCCACCTCAGGAAGAGAAGTTGTAATCTTCAAAATTCTTTTTTAAAAAAAAAAAAAAAAAGATTTATTTATTGAGACGGTCTGGGTGGCTCAGTTGGTTAAGCATTTGCCTTCAGCTCAGGTCATGATCCCAGGGTCCTGGGATTGAGTCACGCATTGGGCTCCTTGCTCAGCGGGAAGCCTACTTCTTCTTCTGCCTGCCGCTCCCCCTGCTTGTGCTCTCCCTATCTATCTCTCTGACATATAAATAAATAAGAGATTTATTTATTTATTTATTTAAGGGGACAGAGGGAGAGGGAGTCTTAAACAGACTGCACTGAGCACAGAGCCCAATGAATGGCTCGATCCCATGACCCTGAGATCACGACCCCAGCTGAAACCAAGAGTCAGATATTCAACCAACTGCACCACCCAGGTGCCCCATGAATCTTTAAAATTCTAAGATATTTCTTACCATGGGAGGTCGTGCAGTAATTGGTCCAAAAGGTGTGGGCAAATTCATTTTATTCATAAGATGAAGCACCTTAAAGGAGCAAAACATGGAAAATCACATAGTAAAATGATAATTCAACTCATATCTTGTATTTTATGTACTTTAAAACTTTGCAGTAACATTCCTGATTTAGTGCAAAGGCTGGCCACTTCTTGCTTTATCCCAGAATAGGGCTATTACCAGCCACTGATATATCTCAGATTACCCTTCCTAATATGTATGTCAATTCTACAAATACTCATTATTCTCATTATTAAAAATACCATGTTCTTGCAGTAAGTGCTACCAAAATGTTATATATTTCCCCAATTACTGCGGAATTATGAAACAAAAAGTACATTAAGAAAATATCTATAATTTGTACTTAAAAGTATCGTACTACTGTCAATACTTTCAAGCATTTGCTGAGGGATCCACTATGTTTTTTCCTTTAAGAAACAATCTCCATTAAAGGTATATGCTCAAGTAACAAAAATTACCAGAAGTTATATTTCCCAAATTATCTTATGCTTATTAGCATTAATATTAAACACATTAATAAGTTTAAGCCATAGTCTATAAAAACCTTCACTTGAATGTAGTAGTATTTCATTACATTTTGCAATGGACTTAATCGCCACCCACATACATATACTAAATCCTAACCCTCAATGTGATGGTTTCAGGAGGTAGGGTCTTTGGGAAGTAATTAGGTCATAAGGGTAGATGTCCATGAATGAGATTAGTGTTCCTTATAAAAAGGACCCCCAGAAAGCTCTCTCTCCTTTTTTCGCTAGGTGAAGATACAAAGAGAAAATAGCCATTTGCAACCCAGGAGAGGGCCCTTACCAGAACTTAACCCTGCTGGCACCCTAATCTCGGAGTTCCAATCTCCAGCACTGTGAGAAATAATTTTCTGTTGTTTATAAGCCACCCAGTCTATGGTACTTAGTTACAGCAGCCCAAACTGAGAAGACACCTTTAAATAACTGTAATATCACTGCCTGTTAGAATTAGTCTGATTAATGCTATTACGAAAAGTATAAAAAGTAGCATGGAAAATAACTTATCAAGTTATTCAAGCATATATTTTGGGAAAGTTAAGTTGCATTCTACTTACCTGTACATAGAACTTAGGAACACTTGCCAAAGCATTTACTATGTTTGCTAGGATTGTACTTGAAGGTGGTGGGTACATATACTTGAGGCATGAATTCAGAGGAAATGTCAGCCTAAAAAATATATTTAAAATGCTTATCATCTTTTAGTAAGTTTCGTATCAATAATGCATTTTTAGGTAACCTGATGAAGTACATAATTGCTCAAATAATTCAGTACTTTCAGATTCACCCTGTTCCTTATAATCCCAAATAAGTACATTTAAGAAGAAATTTGCTTTGGGGTGCCTGGGTGGCTCAGCTGGTTAAGTGTCTGCCTTTGGCTCAGGTCATGATCTCAGGGTCGTTCTGAATGACTTTTGGGCCAGTGGGCTCCCTTGCTTAGCGGCATCCCCTCCGCACCGCCCCTCCTCCCTGCTCATGCTCATGCGTATGCTCTCTCTCAAATAAATAAAATCTTTAAAAAAGGAAAAAAAGGAAATCTGTTTTTTGATTGCACTAAAGAAAAATAAGGTATTTCTTACCAGAGCTTATTTTATAGCTCTTAACATTTTAATGGACCCAAATTCAGTGACAAACTCTAATAGCTCAACATGTTTAACCAACATATTGACTTGACACAATGCTTTAAAATCTCTTATTTGTAACACACACACACACACACACACACACACACACACTCAGAACAACAAAACCAAAAAACAACAAAACACAAACAAAAAACACTAACCCATGGTTTGGTGCAATTCCATTTTCTATGGTTAAACAACCAAGTTCTTTCTTTTCTTTATCATCTTCCACAGGGTCATCAGATCTACAAAATACAGAATCAAAGTTGATTTTATCTTTAGAAATAGAGTAAAAAATTGAGGGTTTGTTAAAACTCAGACTGCTGGGCCTTATATTCCCCTTCCCAACCCCCAAATTTCAAATTCAGTAGGATTAGGGTAAGGCCCAAGAATCTGTATTCCAATCAAGATCCTAGATGATGCCACTGGCCCAAGGACTACTCTGAGAACCACTAGTGCAAGGCAAATTTGTAAAGGTTTTATAACTACAAAGAGTTACTGCTGGGAACCAAATACCAGTCTTTTAATTTCAAAGGCCATGCCTATCCACGGCACCCTGCTATCTGTAATACAACAAGGATTTTTATACTAGTTATGTTCCTCCACTTAAAGCTGATGCTTTTCACCCCACCCTCTTCCCACTTCACACTGATTAGTTCTCAATATTAAATCAACACTCAGATTCCTAATGCACAATAAGAACAAAAATAAATGTACTGGATTCAAGAGACATGTATCATTTATTATGTCAAATTATTTACTTGCTAGTCTGAAAACAACCCAACAGCAATACAATTGATTAAAAAACACTTTAAAATGTTAGGAAAACCTAACGATCTACATACCTTTTCTTTTTTTCAGGGTCTGAAGGGGGACACGGGGAATGAACTCGATCTTGCTCTTTTGCAAATTCAACAACTAAGGTATGACCTAAAAGTTTCAGCTGATGTAGTCTTGTCAATGCCTTCAGTTGGAAAAACAAGAGTAGAATATTTGATAATTGCATCAAAAGTTGTTTATTAGAGAACATCTCCAAATAGTTTATACACGATCTTTGTGAATGCTGCTAATATTTCCCTGGCTATTTCTTACCCATTTCCAATCTCAGGGTGCTTAGTCTTTGTCATTTATTAAGAGACTGCTTCCTATCACTTAGTAAAACCAAAATCTCGTTAAATCCAAATCTCCTTATACCTAGGCAGCTGAAAATGGTTAGAAAACAAACATAATCAGCCTTGACTCACTTTAAACTCATGACCACAACCGCAAATCTCGGGGTGAAACTTGATGCCATACTTATCACATTTTTAGTTCATTTTTTCTACTAATCTCTAAGACACTATTTTGTACTTTCTCCTTGCTCCTCAACCTCACAACATTCCTTTCCCATTCTTTTAGGCTAGGACTTTGCTTCCTACTTTGGGAAAACCGAAACAACCAGATGAGAACTTCAAATTCCCACCATAACTCCTATCTACCAGCTAATGAATCAATGCTATAAGGTATTAATTACCCATGTTTTTATTTAAATCCAGTTACTTGACTTGTATACTAAATCCCACTCTCTCATCTACTCAACAGTCTCTCTTCTACTCTGTATGGGGAGTGTCCTTAACTACATTGCTAATTTTCTGTCCTGTACTGAATCATCCATATTAGCACACAAATATACTTCTACTTCTCCCATCCTAATTTGTTCTTAATTCATCTATTAATCCCACTTTACTCCCCTCCCCCCCCTCTTTAATTACAGCTGCAGTAAAACTCCTTAAGAATTATTTATCTAAGCCAGGGTGCCTGGGTGGCTAAGTCTGTTAAGCAGCTGCCTTTGGCTCAGGTCATGATCCCAGGGTCCTGGGATGGAGCCACGCCCTGGGCTCCCTGCTAGATGGGAGCCTGTTTCTCCCTCGCCACTGCTTGTGCTCTCCTGCATGCGCGCGCACTCTCTCTCTCTCTCAAATAAATAAAATATAAAAAAAAAAAAAATTATCTAAGCCCTTTACCTACAACTCCTCTCCTCCCATCCAGTCTCCAACTCAAAGACAACAAATTCTGTACTGCCAAGCCAATGGTCTACTTTAAGTCTTCATTTTATTGCATTTAACACAGCTGATCACTCCCTCCTTGATACATGTTCTTCACTTGATGTTGAAACATCATACTTGAAAAAAAAAAAAAAAAATCCTACTCTCCTGTAGTTTTCTTCCTAGCTCACTGGTTTCTACTCCTTAATCTCTTGGCTTGTGCCTTTTCAACTCAAAATGTTGGCATACTCCAGAGTTTTATTATTGGTCCTCTTTCTAGCTACTATCTTAGTGATCTAATCACCATCCTAAATTTAAATTCCATCGCTATGCTAATAATTCCCCAATTTATAACCTCAGCCCAAGCCTGTTCCGAAGTCCAAGAAAACATATCCAAACTACCAGACAACTCTCCTTAAGTGTCTAACAAATATCTCAAAATTGACACTTCAGAAATTGAACCACTGATATTCTATCCTCATCCCCCCAAATGTTTTCTATGTGGAGCCTTTCACATTTCAGTTGATGATAACCCCATTTTTCCACTTACTCATATCAAAAATATTGGAATCATCTGTAAGACTTCTTACCCACGTTACATATCCAAGCCATCAAGAAATTTTGTTTGCTTCTACGTTCAAAATATATCCAGAATCTAACCACTTCTTACCGCCTTGGTCCGAACAGCTATCATCTTTGAGCTAAATTACCACCATAACCTGTTTACAGATTTCCCTGTTTTACTCTTCCTGCCTCCCATTTTAAAGATGTAAGTTAGATTATGTTACTGCTTTGCTCAAAATACTCCAACAGCTCCCCATTTTACTCAGAGTAAAATCCAGGATCTTTAGAGTATCTACATGATATGGCATCTAGTTCTTCTCTAACCTTAAATTCTAATTACATCCCCCTCATTCTGTCTGCTTCAGCCATTCTAGTTTACTTGAACATGACAGGCATTCTCCTACACCAGTGCCTTTTCCAGCCATTACTCTGACTGGAATGTACCTTCCCCAGATATTCCCTTAGCTAATTCACCTCCTTCAAATTATTACTCAAATATGACCCTAATCATCTTAACTGCAACCATCCCCATCTCGCACTCTTGATCGTATTGCTTTTTTTCCTTTTTATTCCATAGCATTTATCATTTTCTAAAATATTAATTAAGTTTATTATTTACAATCTGCCTCCCCTTTTGAGAATATGAGCCCCAATGAGGACATTAAGTCTTTATTTCCTTATTTTTTTATTCTTATTTTTTTAAAGATTTTATTTATTTGAGAGAGAGAATGAGATAGAGAGAGCACATGAGAGGGGGGAGGGTCAGAGGGAGAAGCAGACTCCCTGCTGAGCAGGGAGCCGGATGCGGGACTCGATCCCGGGACTCCAGGATCATGACCTGAGCCGAAGGCAGTCGCTTAACCAACTGAGCCACCCAGGCGCCCCTCCTTATTTTTTTTTTTTTTAAAGATTTTTTATTTACTTGACAGAGACAGACACAGCAAGAGAGGAAACACAAGCAGGCGGAGTGGGAGAGGGAGAAGCAAGTTTCCTGCTGAGCAGGGAGCCCGATGGGGGAACTCGATCCCAGGACCTGAGCCGAAGGCAGACACTTAATGACTGAGCCACCCAGTCGCCCTATTTCCTTTTTTTTTTTGGTAAATATTTTATTCACTGATTTATCCCAAGACTAAAGCAGCATCTACCACATTGTAAGCATGAAATATTTTTGAACAAATAGACCTGTAAGCCTTAATTAGGACTACAATTTTATTTTACCATCTTTATGCATCCTTACTTGACTCTTTCATTTTCAAATGTTTTCAATAATTTTCAAGTCCCTAAATCAATTCTAAACCTCTTCATTATCAGTGAACCTTTGACTGTCTGAAATGCAGGGCATCTAAGCTCAATTGCTTCAACTTTCTTCTTGGCAAAATGGGTATCACACCTATTCTCCTCAAGGATATACAGTTGTTCACTTTTAATGTTAACTAATTTCCCCATCTCACTCAGCTACTTACTCTATTCTTAAACATTTCTCTACCCTTGTTTTTTAAAAATCTATCAGTCACGTACACTGTAGCCTAAAAGCCATACCGATGCTATTATCTTCTCATTCCTTCTCTACTACAAATGTTTCCCAAAGACATTGACTGGCTCCACATCCTCATCTCTAAGTTGATCTTGACCATAAAACAATGCGGGTTTCATTACCGTGTTTTATTTATAATACCTTACGCCATATTTACAAGAAGCTTTTCTGAGAAAAAAAAATCCTATACATTAAAAAATACATATAATGTGAAGTCTTCTATAATCCCACCTTGACAGAAAGACATTTATTAACAATTTAGTGTACAGCTTTGCCACATTTTTTTCCCTATGCAGGACCATATGTACTATTGGATTTCCAAAAATCCAACGTTACATCTCATACCTAATGTCTGCCAACTTTATTCATGTACTCTATCTAGGCCACATTCCTTACTAATATATATTCATTTTACCTTATTCTTTGACAGTAGTCCAGCCTACCAATATACTATAAGGTGTCCTTTCCTCCTATTGATGAGAATTTGGGTGATTTCTATTGTTTCATAATAAAAAAACCCTTTACTGATTAAGACTATTCATTCCTCATTTTGTGTCATCACAGGATCTCATCTTCTTAAAACTCTCTTCTCTTTGCAACAAAGAAAGATAATTTCTTTTCTAGTTCTACTTCCTTTTTAACTTCTCCCTCCCATTCTCCTTTCCTGGCTTGTACTTTCCTCTGGGCAACCATATCCATTCACCTGATTCAAGAAACTCCATTTTTGACCCTGTCTTAGCTCTAGAGCCATATTTTTAACTATATTAAAAATATTTCCGGGGCACCTGGGTGGCTCAGTTGGTTAAGCGCCTGACTTCGGCTCAGGTCATGATCTCAGGGTACTGGGATCAAGTCCCGGATAGGGCTCCCCGCCCAGCAGGGAATCTGCTTCTCCCTCCTCCTGCCCCTCCCCCTGCTCGTGCTCTGTCTCTCTCTCAAATAAATTAAAAATCTTAAAAAAATTTCCATAGAAGTAGCTCAACAACTCTTCAAGTTAATAGGTAACAGTGGGAATTCATTACCTACCTTTGCAAACATCCTCTGAATCCTGCCCTTAATGTCATCTAATGTAATAACCCAATACCTCAGTCCAAAAATCTCCAAATATTCCCTTTCTTAACCTCTACATCTATAGGGATCACAAGATCTACAAACTCAATCTTTATTGAGTATATACCTACTTTTCCCTTTGTTTTTTTTCTAGACTTATTTGGATCCTTTATCTTGCGTTGGCCATTATAACATTTCTCTTGTCTTGACTTTCCACTTGGTCTTCTTATCACTAATCTTTTCCGCATCTAATCCATTACATGAACACTACCAGATCTTTCACAGACCTGACCATATTATTGTGCAGCTCAAAAGTAATCAAGCCAGAAGTAGTATCTACTGAACAAAATTCAATCCCTCCCTCCCACCCAAATTTAGACTCAACCTATTTTCCAAGTCCTATTTCCATCTTAACCTTTAGTTTTTGCTCTAGCTACAACTTTCTATGGCCCATAGCTTCACTTAGTGTTCTCCCAACCTGAAATGCCCATGCCCCTTTGTTTACTTCTCAAAACCCAACTAATTATTAAGGGTGTACCTCAGGGGCGCCTGGGTGGCTCAGTTGGTTGAGTGACTGCCTTCGGCTCAGGTCATGACCTGGAGTCCCTAGATCAAGTCCCGCATCGGGCTCCCTGCTCGGCAGGGAGTCTGCTTCTCCCTCTGACCCCCCTCCCTCTCATGCTCTCTGTCTCTCATTGTCTCTCTCGCAAATAAATAAAATCTTAAAAAAAAATAAAATTAAATTAAAAAAAAAAATTTAAAAAAAGGGTCTACCTCAAAGGTCACCTCCTTCGTGAATGCATCTCTAGGATTTGTTTTTTAATATATGTATTTTCCCTCTAATACTTAAAATATCTTAATTTGCCATAGTGAGCGTTATCAGTCTTTGCATTCTTTACAACTTATTTTTAATCACATACAAATTACAATTTTAATTTGCTTTCCAGTTAACCTATTCTTTTTTTTTTTTTTTTTTTAAAGATTTTTTATTTTTTATTAGAGAGAGAGAGAGTACAAGTGGGGGAGCGGCACACAGAGGTAGAGGGAGGAGCAGGCCCCCAGCTCAGCAGGGAGCCCAATGTGGGGCTCGATCCCAGGACCCCAGGATCATGACCTGAGCCAAAGGCAGACGCTTAACCATCTGAGCCACCCAGGCTCCCCTCCAGTTAATCTATTCTTATGCCCAAATACCTAAACTTTGGGGAAGATTTGCCAACTGATAAACCAAATGCAGTCTGTGGGGTAAACTCTTGAAACACAGATGCTTTTGTTTTTGAAAACGGTAGTTCAACATTATGTTCCACTTTTGAACAAAGATTAGTTAATAGGAAATTGCTGATAACTTTCATAGTTAAAAAAAGTCATACCTTTATAGCTGCTTTTTCATTAGGGAAAGTAGCAAAAGCTGTATGTTTCTGAAAAAGAATTAAGGTACAATTATTTCTAATACAATTTCAGTTTTTCATAAGAAATCTGACTTTACCAGCTGACAGTTATTTCACAAATTAATAAAGTCATGGAAAAGGATGGAAAATCGAGATCGCTGTAACTGTTTATTAATTTCAGCACTGTAGTTCTGCATCTTTTTTGGATCAGAGCTCCTTGAGATGACAGCTATGTAGCCTTTTGTATAAAGGTGTACACACATATACACCATGTTTTACATACACTTTCAAATAGTTCAACAGATCAGAAGTTTAAAACCCCTACTCTACTAAAGGACAACCCTTAAAGTATCTTCAGTTTATAATATATCTAAAAATCTTAAACTTCCCTGTATACAGCCAAATACAAAGTTTAAAAATGTTTACCAACAAAAAATCACTTCTCAAGTGCATGGTTCCTTTGTGCTTTATCCTTGTAATAAGGGTTCAGTGGGAGAAGTCTATTTTAAAATATAAACTGTAAGTTTAAAAACCATCAGAAAAAAATAAACAGTAAAGGAATCATTACCACGGATAATGTTATCAGTTCTTAACAGTGCTTATTAAAGCTTTTACAAGTTGCTTGAGTATTTATGTAACACATTCTAACTTTGTCTAATCTGATGATCCAAGATGACCTAATTAAGAGTACTTAAACTAACCACACAGAGTATTTGTATTTGCTGGTATAGGTGACACTTTGATCAAAATTGGTCAGTCTTCTCAGTACTTCTCAACCCTGGTTGCATATTAGAATCACGTGAGGAGACTAAAACCACTGATATATGGCCGAATCACAGACCATCTTGCAGAAACTTAACATCACCATTACTATTTTAACAGAGAGAAATCCATCTAAAACAAAAGCAAATGAAATAATTGGGTAAATTATTGTGTAGAAACGTTTTTCTCCTGTGTAGAAACCTTTAATAGTCTTAAAAATATTATTCCAACTGATTCCATCAGAAAAATTTTTATTAAGAGTTTTTTTCCTAAAAAATCGGGTAGAAATTCTGTGACTGGTTTACTGAAGTTACCACTGTACTTTCTCCTCTGTTTTAATGAATGTCTTAACAGTGGCTTATAAATAACCCAACATTTTTAAAAAGTCCTTTGTACTTCATACCTGCGAGTACTCTAAGTCTAAAAGAAATGCTCTCAAATTCCGAGGAGTTTTGAGATTCTCAAGATAGGTCAGAAAAACGGATGTAAGCTATTTTCCATTCTTCTGCCTTGACTTTCTCACTGCTCTTTTCGACAGCGCTGTGACATTTAAGAAGCTCAAGACATTTAAAACTTCACTTGGTACGCAAAACCTTTTGACCTAAGAGGGAGAACACAGGGAAGACCCCACTACACAAGCGCATTTTCCCACCCTCTTCTACTTCCTTCTGTCAAAGCTTCCCCCTCCCTGAGTCTACCCAAGGGCCTTCCCTGGCGGCTTCGGACGGGCGCGCCCTTACCAGTCGTCCCTTATCTGACAGGACGCGCACCGACTGCGCCCCGAAATATTTCAGCAAGTCCTCTTTCTCTTCGGCGGTCAGCTCGGCTGGCAGGTGCCTCACTAGAAGGGTTCGGTCGCCCCGCGGCGGGGAGAGCGAGGCAGAGCTCTGGCATCCTCTTGACATCGGCGGTAGTGGCTGCTCAGGGGCCGCCATTTCCCTCGGAGAAACCGCAACGGGGAAGGCGAAAAACGAGCACGCAGGGAAAACGCGCTAATCAACAGAAGCTGAAGCTAAACGAGTATTTTTCCGCCTCGCGCTAAGGATTCTGGAAACAAGGAAGGACCGCGATAGACGGTCACCTTCTCGCGAGATTTGCGCCTGGGACGGCGGAGTCTTATTCAGAGACCGGCTCCTCAGACTGAACGACTAGGTTCCACGGCGGTGGGAGAGCAAAGTGATTTTTAAGTTCCGGGCAGCTGCTGAAGGTATTAAAAACAAAAAATTTCCATGGAGAAGCGCGAGGATTTAAAGAGTTGTCAAGGAAGGAATAAGGGGCCTCAGCCGCGTGAAGGAAAAGGCCATAAACCCGAGGACCGAAGAAGCCACTGCTGCGCGTGTGCGAGCCGGGGGCGCGTCTGGGCGTGGCCGCGCGGTCTGGAGCTCAGCTCGCTAGGTTCCGGTTACCCGGCCAATCGCGAAAGCGCGTTTGACTGGCTGTCTCGGAAGGGGGACTTGGCGTGGGATTAAGCTAACCGGTGTGTGCCGACAGTCTTGGGATGGTGAAACCAAAGATAGGAAATTCTTCGACTCAGTAAGGTGCACGTAGGTGGGAGAACTTAGTTTAAGGAACAAAAAGTTAGGAAATGGGTTTCGTTTTCTTGAATCGTGCGTATAGCAGTCTAATAGGCTCTGGCCAGTGTTCATTTCACGGAATTGGCGGCCTCTAAGGAGATACACCCTAATGAATATGAGTAATTATATAGATAAATCGATCGATCGATAGATCTTCATATATTTAATTCTAATAACGACCCTAAGGGGTATACTCCTTCCCATCTTACCTTTAAGGACATTGATGTAAAAGGAAGTGTAAGTCGCACAGCTAGTAAATGACAAAGCTGAGATTCCACCCTGCTAGTGTAACTGGGCATTATACTTTAATCCACTATCCTGTCTGGTTTCTGAATGGAGTTAAGGCAGAGATCATCCCAAGAAGTGAATCAGAAATGTCTCCCTCACTCCATACAGTGAGGGCCTTAAGGATTCTAGAGAGAGGTATTCTCTACAGTCTGCTACATTGTGCACAGGGGCTGGAGACCTAAGGACCCTCTGCCTGCTCTTTATTTGCCTCTTAATTAGGTGTTTAAAATATAACAGTAAACAATACAGCAAACTTTTGCTTTTATGCAGCATTGTTTGAGAAGCAGGGGAGGGACAGACTTCAATAAAAACTAGAAAAAGCATGGGAAAACGCGGAAATGTCAGTTATGTAGAGCCAGACCTTGATGGCCCGGTATGTTTGTTTGGAGTCTTGTTTATCCCGAGAGTAATTGGAAACTGACAGATTTTTCTAGTAGGGGTGTGTGTGTGTGTGTAATGATTAAATTTTGGATATGAAAATTTATCTTTGGTTGCAGTGTGAAAAATATAGTGGAAGCCAGAAGACAGTTGGGCTACTACAATAGCCCAGGTAAAAAAAGAAAACAAAAACAAAACATTGCTTGAAATAGTTTGGTAACAGTGGATACAGAGAGAAGAATCTGGAACTGAAATATATTTGGGAAGTAGAATTGATAGAGTTGTAGATGAAGAAAAGTAGTTAAGGATAGTTCTGGGTTTTCAGCTTGAGCCCCAAACTGTTCACCGTCTAGGTGGATGGTGATGATGTCATGTTTTGAGCATGAGAACAGGGACTAAAGTGTAGCTAGATTAGGGACTTCAGGGAAGGGTGGGAAAGGGAGGAACACATATTAAATTTAAGGTACCTAGTCAATATCCATGTTTCAGGTAGGCAATTGGATGTAAATTTAGTATTCTAGAGAAATATCAACACAAGATGCACATACAGCATCAACACATATAATATTTACCAAGGGATGAGAGATAGTGTAGGCAGGGAGAGAGAGGCCCAGTATTGATCTATGGGGCATGTCAGTGTTGGGAAATGGAGGAGAGAGGAAGAACAAGATAATAATCCTTTCTCTCTTGGCACTTACATTCTAGTAGTAAAGATAGACCATAACATGTAGATAAGTAAGTTCCTTTGGAGAGTAATATGTGCTTTTGGGGGAAAAAATAGAGACAGGGTAGAGGGATAAACTGTTATTGGAGAAGGCATGCTACTTTAAACACTATCCTTTGTAGGCTTTTGTCCGTGTCTTTCACCATTATCATCTTACTAATGATATCATCATATCTTATCCTTCTCTTGTCAATAGCTCAGGCAGATCTCATAATTTCTTAGTCACTTTCAGTTAATAGTCCCAGCGGACTCAAAATGTCAACTCTAAATTATATTCAGGCCTCACTTTTTACCCTCTTCTCGTATCAGCCTTCACCTAAGAGATAGGAGGAAGATATAATTTGCTTTCATCTCTCCCACGTTTGAGTAGGAGTGGGTGTGGTCTGCTCTGTGTTGCGCGTTTCTCTCATTTTCTTTTCTTGGATTACCACAGAGGTTCCCAAACTTTCTCAGCTCATGGTGCTTTTATTGTCTCAATAGTTTTTTTTTAACAGCATCCCTTGGTGCCTCCTCACTTCCTGTTCCACCCTGATTTTACACAGCAACAGGAAAAAACCCAGGTTTGCAAAGATTTTTAAATTCAAAAATATTTCAAGCTGGTAATTCATGTAGTGTAGTGTCCGACAGATTTTGATTATTGCCGTTTCCCTCAAATATTGAAAATATTCCATAGCAGGGGCATCTGGCTGGCTCAGTCTTGCTCTTGGGGTCATAAGTTCAAGCCCCACGTTGGGTGTGGGGATTACTTTAAAAATAAATAAATAAAAGTTAAAAATAAAATATTCCATAGCACCTCTGTGATGTAGTTGGTGCACCTGGAACACCGCAGCACACAGTTTGAGAACTGTGGCTCTAACTACTTTTTGGTTTTGATTTTCTTAATTGCAAGGTAGGAGGAGGAAAGTTAGAGGTGGGGAGTATCTTACTTCATTGACCAAATGTTGGTTCTCTATCTCACTCTGATTCTCTCTGGTCCATGTTGATGGACGCTCATATTCATCAATTCCCCCTCTATCACTGAGTACCTTTTCAGGCAAGAGTAGCTTCCCCCTCCCCTTTGGTCTTTGGTTTACATCTCCAGTTTACCTCACTTAGCCATGTGTCTATTTGGGCATTCCTTTCAATTTCCAGACTTCCTATTTTTTCTCATGAAGCCTGGAGAACTCCTGGGGCCTATTTTAGTATTTCTGGAAGGCCTTGGAGAACCTGAGAAAAGAATTTACTCCTTTTTTTTTTTTCTTTTTTTTTTTTTTTTTTTGGTTTTTTTGTTTGTTTTTTTACTTAAGATACAATTGACATAGAACATTATATTAGTTTCAGGTATACAACATAATAATATGTTTGTATACATTACAAAATGTTCACCACAATAAGTCTAGTTTACATCCATCATCTTACACAGTTTCAATTTTTTTTCATGTGATGAGAACTTTTGAGATCTACACTCTTACCAACTTTCAAATATGTAATACAGTACTAATAACTATAGTCACCATGCTGTACATTACATCCCCAGGATTTATTTATTTTATTACTCAAAGTTTGTATCTTTTGACTCCCTTCACCAGTTTCTCCATCTTCCATTCTTCCTCTGGCAACCACCAGTCTATTCTTTGTATCTATGAGCTGGGTTTTGTTTTGAGTCCCCATGTAAGTGAGATCAGATGGCATTTATCTTTGTCTGACTTATTTCACTGAGCAAAATGCCCTTGAGATCCATCCATTTTGCCACAGATGGCGTGATTTCCTTCATTTTTATTTCTGAAAAATATTTCAAAATATTTCATTATATATCATATATTCTTTATCCATTCATTCATTCATTCATTCATTCATTCAGGAATACATAGGTTGGGCGCCTGGGTGGCTCAGTTGGTTAAGCGACTGCCTTCGGCTCAGGTCATGATCCTAGAGTCCCGGGATCGAGTCCCACATCAGGCTCCTTGCTCAGCAGAGGGTCTGCTTCTCCCTCTGACCCTCCCCCCGTCATGTGCTCTCTCTCTCTCTCTCATTCTGTCTCTCAAATAAATAAATAAAATCTTAAAAAAAAAAAAAAGGAATACATAGGTTGTTTAGTCTATATCTTGGCTACTGTAAATAATGCTGCAGTGGAGGTGGGGGTACATGTATCTTTTTGAGTTAGTTTTCTTCAGCTAAGTACCCAGAAGTGGAATTACTGGATCATATGGTAGTTCTATCTTTAATTTTTTGAGGAGCCCCCATACTGTTTTCCATAGTGGCCAACAGTGCACAGGGGTCCCCTTTTCTTCACGTCCTTGCCAACAATTTCTCTTTTCTTTCTTTCTTTCTTTCTTTCTTTCTTTCTTTCTTTCTTTCTTTCTTTCTTTCTTTCTTCTCTCTCTTTCTTTCTTTCTCTTTCTTTTTCTTTCTTTCTTTCTGTCTTTTTTTCTTTTTCTTTCTTTCTTTCTATGATAACCATTCTAAAAGGTGTGAATTGATGTATCATTGTGGTTTTGATTTGCATTTCCCTGAAGATTAGTGATGTTGAGCATCTTTTTGTGTATCTGTTAGCCGTCAGTATTTCTTCTTTGGAAAAATGTCTAGTTAGATTTTCTGCTCATTTTTAATTGAATTGTTAGTGTATATTTTTTTGCTATTCAGTTCTATGAATTATTTTCCTAATTTTTTGCTAAAAGCATTCTTTTCCTTTGCAGCCAAAGTTCTAGAGAGATTATGTGGGAAGTAAAGACAAAAGAAACATTAAATTTCCTTACTACTTCACAGCCAGCCCATTAACAAGTCCTTGAAACAGGCTGACATTCCTCTAGGAACTCAGCTGCCTCGATGTTAATACTTTGCTAAGGTCAAAAGGTAATCTTAGCCCAACCCCCAAAATACTATAAGTCTACTTTAACATATAAAAATACTTTTGGCGGGGAACCTGGGTGGCTCAATTGGATAAACATCTACCTTAGGCCCAAGTCATGATCTCAGAGTCCTGGGATTGAGCCCTGTATTGGGCTCCCCGCTCAGCCTCCTGCTCATGTGTGATGTCACTCTCTCTCTCAAATAAGTAAAAAAATATATATATTAAAAAAAAAGTACCTTTGCAAACTTCCTTTTTCTCTACCTCCCAAGATATATGTTGGCAGTCATCCCCTAAGCATATGACCCACAGATATAAATATGAAGGGTCTCATTACTAAGGTTTTATTAGACAATAATAAATAACCTTTTCTAACAATAGCTAGTCCCCTCAAAGTTCCTGGAAACCTTGCTTCCAAAATTCCTAGGAGACTCGCTATCCCTAACCACCTCCCAACTTGAAAGTATATACTCAACCACTCCTCATGACCCCAGTGCAGCTCTTTCTGCCCACAGGTCTTGTCTCTGTGCCTTAAAAAAACCCCCTTATTGCACCAAAGACATCTCAAGAATTATTTCTTGGCTGTTGGCTCCAAAACTCAACATCTTTCCTATATCAAGAGACGTAAGTTATCCTTATTTTTTTACCTTGTACTCCAAAATGTACTTCTGTCTGGCTCCTGATCCCATCAGTCCATAAAGTAATTCTTGCTAGGGTGAACAGTTACTCCAAGTTGCTAAATCCAATAGACGTTTTCAGTTCTCATTTTAACTTTTCAGCAGAACTTGAGACATTTGACCACATTCTTTTTGAAACATCATCTTCCCTTGGTTTACAAAACATGCCATTTCTCTTATTGTTCTAACTCACTTTCTCTCTGGCCTGACTCTAATTTTCAACTTCATTTTTTCTCCTTTGTTCCCTAACTTTGAACCTTCTTTCCACCTTTGCTCTTAAATGATAGCCTTGTTTCTTATTCTCATTGAAAAAATTGAAGACTTCCATACCCATCAATTGTACTTGCATTTGTGCTCCTTAGTTAAGGCAACTTCTTCAGAATTAGATCCCTGCCTTCTTGTGTACTCTACTGAATCATTCTCATTCAGTAAATATGCTATTATTATTTTGATTTTTTAAAAAGCAAAGCAAATGATGTGGAGAACAAAGGCAAAAGAAATATAGGAAAAAAAGTAAACTTTCTCACAACTTAATAGCCCATTGACAAATACCTGGGACAAGCCGAGTGACCGAGTGACCTTCGTCCAGAAAATCAACTGCCTCAATGTTAATACTTTGCTAGAGGCAAAAGGCAACCCTAGCTTGATACTAGCCCAACCTCCAGGACCCTAAAAGTCTTCTTTAACATATAAAAATCCCTTTGGAAACTTTCTTTATCTCTACCCCAATAATGAGGGAGCAAAAGGCAAAATGAGGGTATAGATAGCACAAGCTAACACCCAGCAACCCCCCCCCCCCATATGCGTGACATTCCTCAGGCATTCCAGGCTGCCCTAGAACAAAGGAAAGGAAAAAACAAATGGTTAACTGATAGAGATCACAGGCAGGACCTGAGCCTCCATTAGTTTGCAACTGTCTTAATGATTTACAAGAAAAGAGCAGCCTCCAAAACCTATAGATTCAATTTACTGGAGCCCTAACATCACCCTCCTCTCCATAGGATAAAGAATCTTACATAATCAGTCTCTCCTTTACAACCCCAGTGCAGCTCTTTCTGCCTGTGGGTCCTGTCACCCTACTATAATAAAAACACTTTTGGCACCAGAGACGTCTTAAGAATTCTTTCTTGGCCTTTGGCTCTGAACCCCACCACTCCAAACCATATCAGCCCCAAGATATACGTTAGCAATCATCCTCCAAACATATGGCCCACTGATGTATATCTGAAGGGTCTCATGACTAAGGTTTTACTAGACAGTAATAAATGCCCCCTCAAGATCCTGGAAACCTTGCTTCCATTTCCTTAGGGACTTAGGCTATCCCTAACACCCTCCCAATCTGAAAGTATATAAAATCAGTCACTCCTCACAACTGCAGTGCAGCTCTTTCTGCCCATGGGTCTGTCTCTGTGTTTTAATAAAACCACCTTTTTTTGCACCAAAGACATCTCAAGAATTCTTTCTTGACCATTTGGTCCGAAACCCCAATATTTCACATCAGCAAATATACAAATTTAAAAGAAAACCTTTTGTTTCCACTTTCCTCTCCAGCCATTTCTTTCTGTTTATAGCAAAATTGCTAGAAATAATGGTGTATGTTTGTTGTCTCCACTCTTTTTTTCTCTCATATTTTCTTTAATTTTGTTAAAAACAACAACAACAAAAAAAAACTGCAGGCCCAAAATGGCATCACTGGGCCAAGTCACCAAAACAAGGGTTAATACATAACGTAATTATAGTTTCAACCTCCCCTAGACATATAATCTTAACTGGTCAGTCAGGAATTTTCTGTTAAGTATCAATGAGATAATCTGTCAGATGGGCCCTTTCTTGCCCCCAAAGGAAGATGAGGTAATCCATCTAATAAGACCTCCTACCATTCCCTATAAGGGAAGGTGACCTTGCCTGGGACAATCTTTTCTCTTTTTCTTTCTTTCTTTCTTTCTTTCTTTCTTTCTTTCTTTCTTTCTTTCTTTCTTTCTTTCTTTCTTTCTTTCTTTTTCTTCCTTCCTTCCTTTCTTTCTTTCTTTCTTTCTTTCTTTCTTCTTTCTTTCCTTCTTTCTTTCTTTCTTTCTTTTCTTTCTTTTTCTTCCTTCCTTCCTTCCTTCCTTTCCTTCTTTCTTTCTTTCTTTTTCTTTTTCTTTCTTTTTTTTGCTAATAAACTTCTTGCTCCACCCTCCTTCTTATGAAAATCTTTTATTTTGTACAACTCCTTGGAGCTCCCCTACCTACTGGATGGGATGGTGCCTGATTCATGAAATTCATAAAACCAATTAGATCTTCAAATTTACTCAATTGGATTTTTATTCTTTAACAGATTTGGTGGCAGCAGTGGGATCCAAAGCAAATCTCCATCAACATTCAGGGACAATGAGAAACACAAGCATGGCGCCCTGTTAACCCTTTTGAATTCACTTTCTTGCTGTTTTCAAAGGCCATTGGTGAGTTCCTATGAGTTTGAGCTCTGTGCTCTGCATTTGAGCTCCTGATCTAATTGGCTTTTTTGTCCAGGGTTAACAGGTCACTGTAGACTAAGAGGAAGCACTAACAGATCATTAGTCAGCCCTCAGTTCAGGCCACAATTCCATATCAGAATCTCTTCCCTCATTCTAGTCTACAGTCCCCATTTACTGGGGTTTGCTGGTTTAGTCCACGTTGGACTAGCCAGAGCTGCACTGGGTTAGACTTAAGAACCAGAATGAGTTCAGGATCAGACTGGGTCTGATTTAAGAACCATAATGGGTCTGGGATTGGACCAGATCTGATTTGAGCTGGACGGCATTTAGTGTGAGGCCTTGGTGTTTTAAATAAAAACCAGTTGCTAATGGGGAATCTTGGAAGCCAGAAATAAAGCTGCAAATATTGGTGGGCATGGATTGAGCATTTAAAGGCTTTGCCACCTCAAGAAGTCTCCCATGATAGGATAAGTTGGTTATGGAATGGGTTAAACTGACACTAGGTCACTTGCCAACTTCAAGAAAATTTCTGTGCAATGAGGTACACTGTAAACACCCCACAAATACCAACCCCATGGCACATCCCTCTTAGATATTAGTTTGCCTCTAAGAAACCTAGCTAAAAGGCCTAGCTAAAAGAAATAGGATTCTTTATATCAAGAGAGTTGAGCACATTGCCTCTGGCACCCCTGCTTATTTTGTGTCTAAGAACTATAGTCCTGGTAGTTGGAGATATCTAGCAAGATGGAACAATTTTACTAAAAAACAACCTGGGATTACAATGGCTATTAAGGGGAATGTTACAATTAGATAAGATCATTTAAGAACACTTGTAATTAACGGTTCCCAAATTAAATAGAATGGGATACTTATTTTTTTTTTTTTTTTAAGATTTTATTTATTTATTTGACAGAGAGAGACACAGCGAGAGAGGGAACACAAGCAGGGGGAGTGGGTAAGGGAGAAGCAGGCTTCCTGCAGAGCAGGGAGCCTGATGCGGGGCTTGATCCTAGGACCCTGGGATCATGACCTGAGCTGAAGGCAGATGGTTAACAACTGAGCCACCCAGGCACCCTTGGGATACTTATTTTTTTTTTTTTTAAGATTTTATTTATTTATTTGAGAGAGAGAATGAGATAGAGAGCATGAGAGGGGGGAGGGTCAGAGAGAGAGGCAGACTCCCTGCTGAGCAGGGAGCCCGACGTGGGACTCGATCCCGGGACTCCAGGATCATGACCTGAGCCAAAGGCAGTCGCTTAACCAACTGAGCCACCCAGGTCCCCAGGGGATACTTATTTTAATTTACATGCAGAAGTCTCCAAAAATTCTCATACTTCCAAAGTCGTTTCAGTGGAAGATTCATTGCAAAAGACTAATAAAAAATTAAAGAGAGAAAAGGTACCTAAAAGATTATAAGACTTGTATCCATTCTGAAGAAACTATTAACAGTTGCCTTTTAAATTAAAACCACTCAAGGCTACAGGTAGTACTCTTCAGGTATCTTTCACTCCTTAGTCAAAGACCAAACTAAGGGCTATGGTTAAGAATTTTTTAAACCCAGGGAGGATCCTCAAAAGTTTTTGTAAATAGATTGCCTTCTGACCCCATTCAAGAGAGGAAGATAAAATTTCACGTTGTCCCTCTCTTTCCAAATCGAGACTAATTGGTTATTGATTCTTTCTCTCCCAGGATAGCTATTTCCTTTTTGTTTATCTACTTTTTGCATCCTAAGAATTTGGCTTGACTTTTTACCTGCCTGGGATTTGCAGGTTATTGGTTCTTTCTTTAGTTATCTTTGGGAGTAACTCTAAATCTTGTGAAGATACAATCTTTTACACCCTCTTTGAGGACACCTCATAGGTCCATGAAGTTGTTTAAAGCTGCCAGAAATATTTATTGTTTGTCGAGGCTGAAACATGACAAGATATTTGAAAGAACTTAATAACTCTATGATCAGAAATTTGACAAAGTGGAAGCTGATATTCAGAGCCTGATAGGAAGTTTTTTAGGCATTCTCCCATATGCTAAATGTAACCAAAAGGAAAGAAGAAATTCTAATATAAGTGGATGGGTGCATCAGTCCTTTGACATCATTGACAGCAACTAACCTAATTGAGGAATTTAAAGCAGTTGTCCTTATTTTATAAACCTAGTATTTACAAGACCAACAGTGTGGTTACAGAAACAATTCAGAATCCACTGATCCTTTTTACCTATTCCCAAACCTCCCTTATTTATCTCAAAAGGCTTGTAAGTAAAACTTGTAAAAACTCTGGCCTCAAGGGAACAAACATCCTAGGAACATTCCGCTTTATTTTTTCCTTTGAATTATAAATGTTGTATCTAGGGTCTTCCCTGGAACTTTTATCTAGACCATCTTTTTTTTTTTTTTAAGATTTTTATTTATTTATTTGACAGAGAGAGAGAGAGAGCACAAGCAGGGGAGCAGCAGTGGGAGGGGGAGAAGCAGGCTCCCCACTAAGCAAGGAGCCCAATGTGGGGCTCGATCCCAGGACCCTGGGATCATGATGTGAGCTGAAGGCAGATGCTTATCCGACTGAGACACCCAGGTGCCCCTGGGCCATCTTTTTAGAAAGCAAATTTTGGGGAGATAATTCTTATCAAGAAAAAAACAAAAGCAGAAAGATTATTTAGAACTTGATTTGTTATGGATAAATAACAAATCTTAAGTGTCTTCTCCACAAATATTACAAAAAGCTTTAGCCATCTAGACAGGTAACTTTAGCTTGTTCCATTTACCACAAAAACAAACCTAGATCTATCTTTTATAACTAGTGAATTTTGCACCAATTTCATGGCAATAATTTTAAAACAGAAGCTATAAGGTCTCTGTTGCATCTGAACACACAGTTCGTGTGTATCTATATCTATGTTGTAGATGTGTGGTATTTTCTACCTCCAGATGGTATTGCCAAAATTAATTTGTAAAAGCTCTGCTTAATTGGCTTAAACAAACAAGCACTTTACATAAATTAGTATTCATAAAAATTCTCAGAAATATAATAGAAACTAACCCAATGTTTTTCAAGTTCTTGTGATCTGGGATAATCTTCAGTAAATTAAAGTTAGTTTAATGAGTTCATTGGTTTAATTAAAACAGGCATGTCTTTCGAGTTATCAACATTGAATATAATTCTGGTAAATAACCTTTATTCTAATACTTAAATTTATTTACTTATTAAATTCATGTAATATTATTTGCAATTTGTCAGCAAAACTAATTTAGAATTATGGTTGACTGGTGTCTCATAAAGTTTTTGTGCATAATCTAAACATAATTGTTAAGAACAAGTAGGTTGAATAGATATAATTTTAGGTACGTTTTTTTAAATAGTTTCCCCAAATCTTGGTAACTTGACACCTTAAAGCTTTGCTAAGTGATGAGTTAAGTTAAATTCATTGAATATCTGCATCATTTCCTAATAAGATGATAATGAAACATTAATTACTGAGAATAGGTTTATCTATTTTTGGCTTCATATCACAGAGAAACTAAAAGATATTTGGATGTGTTAGTGCCACATTGGAAAAGGCACATGCTTCTAGAAATTATGAAATGTATTTGTAAATTTGCCAACCTAAAGAATGCTGGTGTTACAGGGTTGCAGTTTTCTTGTCTCACGGAGGCGAAGAATGAATCTCGTGGACACAAAAGGGTGAAGTGATAGTTTATTAAGTTAAGGTAAGAACCCAAAGAAAGCCCTCTAGAGTGAGAGGGTTTGAATGGGTTGCCAGTGAGGCTTTTATGGTCAGTCTTTTATTCAAAACTGATGAGGGAACCTAAATCTTCTTGATGTTACCTCTGATAGCACCATGATTACTTCTCCTTTGAATATCTCATCAGTGATGTTTAAGACAAATGAGGTGGTCTGGTTATGTTCCCTTATCTCTGGTTTCCTTACACCTCAGCGTTTCTGGGATTTTTGTGAGCTTGATCACATAGCCCCCTACTTGTCTCTCCCTACCTAGCCCCACCTGTCCCTTACTCACTGGTATAACAGTTCACAATTGTTTACATCTAGTTCTCACTAGATATTAAGGTTTCTAAGGGTTTAAGAATTCTAATTAACGTATGTGATTAAAGCTACTAGAAATAATAAGGGAAACATCTTCTTATACCAAGAAGTAAGATGTGTTTTTGATAAGAGAAGATATGAGAAACTGAGATGCATTTTTTGTTGAAGGAAAAGAAAGTAATTTTGTCCTAAAATGAGGCTGGTTGTCTAAAGAGGAAAAACAGGGGCCCCTGGGTGGCTCAGTCAGTTAAGTGCCTGGCTTTTGATTTTGGCTCAGGTCAAGAACTCAGGGTCCTGGGATTGAGTCCCATTCCAAAGCTGTTGGACTTTTGGTCTGCTTTTGATAACAGATTATGAAAGTTTCTATACCTTTTAACTGCTCTGCCTAAAAACAGTGATTTTGTGTTTTATAAAAATAATTTCCTGTGTCTGCTGTCTTTATTAGGTCTTTGATTACCTAGGAAAACTGAGTCTTCTTAATATTAAAGGAGCTAAATTTTGCTAATAGATAATTACTAAGTTTCATAATAATCTGTGATACTATTCAGGCAAGCACTTTATTTTTTTTGTAAGATTTTATTTATTTATTTGTCAGAGAGAGAGCTCACAAGCAGGGGGAGGAGCAGGCAGAGGAAGAAGCAGGCTACTGGCTGAGCAAGGAGCCTGATGCTGGACTTGATCCCAGGACCCTGGGATCATGACCTGAGCTGAAGGCAGATGCTCAACCAACTGAGCCACCCAAGCAAGCACTTTAAAATTTTTTGTCTGTGTGCAATTTTAACAAACTTCCCCAAATCAAATTCTAAATGAAGTCTTTTGTCCTTAAAAAAACTAGAATTTTTCCAGAAGTTTCCCTTAACATTTCAAAGGATTTGTTAACCTAATTAGGCTTATTTGATATGTTAAATTATATGGAAAGCATTGTCAAATAATATCTAATATGATGCCTTCCTTATGTAGTATTTGTATAGGTATATAAGAGTTCTAGAAATCATGTGAAATTCCTAGACATATGTGTCCTGATATCACTTTATATTATTCTTTTACCTTCTGAAGGGGCTCTCATCAAAATTGAGGCTTGTACTAAAAGGACTAAGCCTGAGTATCAAGGAGATGCTTTAGCTGACTTTCATGCAAAGGCAGGAGAAACAGAACCTGTAAAGATTGTGTCACATGTGGATGAAGGCTATTCTGCTTCTGCAGAAAATGACCCTTTGGTGCCAGACTTTTGCCATCCTCATGTCCTTGCCACATGGCAACAGCCTGCTTCTAAATCAAAGAAACAATAATTGTAAATTAAATGAACAGTTAGGGCTATGGGCAACCCAAGATGGCTGCACAGTTCTTTCTGGCTCCCTGGCAAGCCTCACTTTTTTGGTGTTTACATTCCTTCACCCACTCTGGTGCATTCAAGATGACTCAAATTATTAATTGACATTGATGGGGAAAACTTTTATAAAATTGCAAAATAGTCTACCAATAATGTCTGACTTGTCATGTTCATAATCCTGGAGAAACTATTTTGTTTTGTTTTTCAAGAGGCTTCACACCTCCCTCTGGACCCTTTGAACACCTGCAGTTGGACTTCATTCAACTGTCACTTAGTATGGGTTACCACTATGTTCTTATTCTTATATGTGTGTTTTTCGCATGGATTGAAGCTTTCCCTTAACTGCAAGACTGATGTCCTCATAGTGGCAAAAAATTGTTAGAAAATGTGTTTTCTACTTGGTATACCGTCCATGATCTCCAGTGATCAAGATACCTCTGCTTCCCTGGGAAAATCTTATAAACCTTAATGAAAACCTTGAAAACTTTTTGGAATTATCACTCTCCCCATCACTTCAATCATCAGACAAGGTTGAGAGAACTAATGGGATCCTCAAACTGAGCATTTCTAAACTTGCCAAAACTATTGGACTTCGCTGTTCTAAGATATTGCCCTTGGTCTTACTGACTGCTAGAAGTTACCCCTTTGGGAAGTATAACCTCACACCATGTGAGATAGTCATTAGCAGACCAATGTATATTGGTGTACAATCTTCTGCTGATCCCTTGTTGTCTCATACTGGTGTGACTGACTACTGTAAGTCTCTCATATCTTATGCTCAAGCCTGTCAACAGGTTATAGAAGCCTTTGTGGATCCCAATTTAAAGGATCCTGTTGGTCACAGTCTAAAGCCTGGTGATGAGGTATTCTGGAAACATTATCAGAGGAAGACACTTCTTGAGCTCAGTTGGAAGGGACTTTACCAAGTTTTCCTGACTGCTGACACTGTTGCAAAACTAGAAGACACTGGAGATCTCTGAATCAAATTGACAAGGAATAGGAGTAGCTGACATTGAAGTAACTGATTCAGCCCACGACAATGGATCAACTTCATATTTTAACTAAATATGAAACCCTTTCCCCTTATTTTCTTTTCCTTTACTTTGGCATTGCCTAGAAAGATAATGCCTTCCTCTGTATCTCTCAGGCCATTGCTAAGAGGGGGTAATCTAGAATTTATTTCAGGTTAGAAGAAAATCTAACTGTGCCCCTAATTTTTCACAAGCAAAATAAGAGATCTCTTTGGTTGACTCCCCCGAATTTACATTGTTGAGTTAGAAAGGACCTACCAAGGAGGCTTTCATAATTTAGGATTCACTCCTTATAGGAGGTCCCTATTTCCCGGGTTAGGGATAAATGTAAATGAGCCTATGACCAAGAACTTCTCCTTAATTCTTAATTATTGAAGAATCTGCTGCTGAAGTAATAGTGGCCCTATAAAGATTCTTAGACTCTATGGCCAAAGTTCTTGATAATAGAATAGCCCTTAATCATCTTTTATCTGAGCAAGGAGGTGTCTGTGTTGTGGCCAACACCATTTGCTTTACCTGGATTAACACTTCTGGGGAAATTAAAACTCAATTACATAAAATCAGGGGGGGAGCCACTTGGCTTAAAAAGTTCACTTTAGGTGGGGTGCCTGGGTGGCTCAGTTGGTTGAGCATCTGATTCTTGGTTTCAGCTCAGGTCGTGATCTCAGGGTCATGAGAATGCGCTCCGCATCAGGCTCTGTGCTCATTGTGGAGTCTGCTTGCCCCTCTCCCTCTGCTCCTTCCCCTGCTCTCTCTCTCTGTCTCAAATAAATAAATAAAATCTAAAAAAAAAAAAAATGTCACTTTAGGGGAGTCTTTCTTTTACTTAATATTGATTTATATTTATGAATTTATGAATTATATTTATGTCTTGGGGACTGTGGCTTTGAAGTGTACTATGAACATTAGGAATTATTATTTATAATCTCCCTGGCACATTGTAGCCTCTTAAAAACTGAAAATGCATATGTGCAGCTGCTAACTACCAAGCAGATGATCGCCCTGTACTGGAACCTCATAGGAGAAGCCAAGAAAATGACTGACTTAAAGAATGTGAACCTGAAGCCATGACCTGTGAATATCACAGAGATTAAGCATGACTTATAGATACCACACAAAAACACAAACTGCAAGAATTTTAGAGCAATAGCTGAGAGTGGTGCTGATGCCTTAAACTCTGATCACATCTCTCTCAGTTAAGCTGAGAGTCTGAGCAAAAGGGGGGAATTGTTAAAACCATAGGCCCAAAATGGCTTCACTTAGGTCAGGTCACCAAACTGGAGCTTAATGTATAATCTACTTGCATTTTTAAAAAAGATTTTATTTATTTATTTGAGAGAGAGAGAGAGAAAAAGAGCATGAGAGCACAATAGTGGGGAGGGGCAGATGGACAAGCAGACTCCAACCTGAGCATGGAGCTAGATACAAGGCTCAATCCCAGGACCCTAAAATCATGACTTGAACAAAAGTCAGACACTTAACCAAATGAGCCATTTGCAGTTTTAACCTGCCCCAGAAATGTAGTCTTAACCAGTCAGGAATTTTCTGTTAAGCACAAGTTAGGTAGCCTGTCACATGGGCCTTCTCTCTCCCCCAAGGGAAGATGAGGTAATCTGTCTAAGATCCCCTAAGGGAAGGTAACCTTGCCTGGAAAAATCCTTTCTTTTCTTTTGCTAATAACCTCTTGCTCCACCCTCGTACCCATAAAAACCTCCTTGCAGGCTGGGGTGCCGCCTGATTCAGGAGTCACTTCATAAAGTCAATTAGATGTTCAAATTTACTCCATTGAATTTTTGTTCTTTTTTTTTTTTTTTAAAGATTTTATTTATTTATTTGACAGAGAGAGAGACTGAGAGAGGGAACACAAGCAGGGGGAGTGGGAGAGGGAGAAGCAGGCTTCCCGCGGAGCAGGGAGCCCGATGCGGGGCTCGATCCCAGGACCCCAGGATCATGAGCTGAGCCGAAGGCAGACGCTCAACCGACTGAGCCACCCAGGCACCCCTGAATTTTTGTTCTTTAAAGTTTATTCCAATCAAGTTAACAACCCCACTATTCTACTGAAATTGCCCTTCTCAAGGTCACTAATGACCTCGACATTGCTAAATCCAATGGTTCTCAGATCTTATCCTATTTGATCTATCAATATCACTAAACACAGTTGTTTACTCTCTGCTATAAAAACAACCAAAACAAAACACAACCCCAAAACTAAGCTCCCTTCATTTGACTTGCTGTGTACCACACTTTCCATGTTTTCCCTCCATCATTCTGGTCACTCTCTTTGTTTCTTTTGCTGGTTCCTCCT